GCACTGGCCATGTGACCACGGAAGATTGTCTTCGGACAAATGCTGGCTCTATGGCTTGGAAATGGGGATGAGCACCGACCCCTAGAGTCAAACACAACTGGACAAAAATTGTCAAGGGGAACCTTTACCTTTACATCTTAGGTTAAAAGGAAAAAAAGAAACAATTCTGCCCCTAGTGGTAGGAATGGATTAACCGGCTTTGTATTTGTTCCTATGGGAACTAATGATTCTAGTTACAAACAGCCCCTCGACCTAAGAACCAAAAACAGCTGGAACGGATTAATTGGATTTCAATACATTCCTATGGGAAATGCTGATTCAACTTACAAACTTTTCGACTTACAAACTTCCTTCAGGAATGGATTAAGTTTGTAAGTCGAGGGTTGACTGTAGTCCTATTCTCATTTTCCTCAGCATGTGAGCAAGGGAGCACCTAACACTGTCTTCTCAATCATCACACAGAAAGCACAGTCTTGGGAGGGGGAGGTTTGTGTTCACATGGAGGCTGTCCCCATCAATAGAAGCATCTCCTTTTCAGATACATCGTTTTCCACACAACGAAAAGGAAGGTGGACAGGGCAGAGCTATGCACTCCCTGAGTTTCCCATTGAAGAAAGTGAGATGATTAATGGATTTACAGGACTTATTAGGAGACAAGAGAGGGAAAGACATGCCTGAGAATAAAAGTGATTATTCATGCTATCTTAAAGGACTTCAGACTTGAAAGGCTTATTGATTATATGAATAATGCAAATGTGAAATAAACATGTCATTGCTATTTAAAGAATGAGACAAAACATCATGGTTCTCAGAATGACTGAAATAAGTAAGTCCTAGGCTAGTTATTCAGCCACAAGCAAATTTGGATGTAGCAAAGGATGTGATATGAAGGAAATCAAAGAGGTTGCCAACTATTTTGACAAAATAATTAAGAAAATATAGGCAAATTTGTTATTCTAAACCACGTGGCAAAACAAGTTAGAACAGGGACAATATGGCGCCTTGTCCTTTATGTTTTGTTCCCAGAACATTCAAGAAAATAAGAACAATGTTCTCTACCTTTTCTCATATTGTGATCTTAGTGAATCCAAGAATACGTCCAGTTCTTAGGCCCAGCTAATGTACCAGACCAAAGAATGAATAAGACTTTATAAATCCACACTCTGTAAGTCCCATTGATTTAATAGGTCTATTTTTGTTGGTCTTAACATTTGGATTTAATCCACAGTATTTTTGAAAACAATTTGCCTATAAATAGAATGGAGCGAAAGTGATGGGGTTCATTTTTTGATTAAAATTGGCAGACTTTCTCTCCAGTATCTGAAAGTCTAACATCAGCACAGTAGACTGCAAGAAATGAGTCATTTTAGTGCTAGACTTCAAAGGACTTGCCATGAGCATACAAATACAATGAAAAAAAGTACTAATTGTTTTCTGTTACTTTTTGCACCAAAACAAGAGAGAGTGGGTAGGGAGTGGCAGTAAACATGGTGAAAGAGGGAGCGCAAATAGTGGAGGATAGGTGTAGAAACTGGTCACAACACAGGAGGTGAATGGTGGTGGAGCATTACAAGAAAACGTTGATGTTTTAATCATTTCTGTGGACACTGACACAGAAAATCGTAGAATAAAATACGGTACATTGGATATGTGGATGCAGAGAGTGAGCCATGAAGAACTATCCCAGAAAATATATGGGACTGTGTAAGGTTGTGAGGTTCAATTTATATATCTCCCGTAGTAGAGTTTCCATTAAAGGCACTGTGTAAGGTTGTGAGGTTCAATTTATAAATTTCCCATAGCAGAGTTTCCATTAAAGGTGTGGTATATAAATCAAATCAAATCAATCAATCAGTCAATCACCAAGGCTGGAGGAGATGCTAGATTTCCAAAGGGAAGTGATTTCATGAATTCTAAAAGGATTTATGCAGAAGTAAATACATTGGTTTTGTACAGCTGGTATATACAGAAGTGCATATTTTCCTGTGCAGACACACTTTAATAAAGTTATCAGTTTTCTTTTATAAAAGATTACCTATCTGCAGTTTCTTCTTTCATGAAACATGTGAACAGACACAGATTAGGTATTTGGCATTCTTTTTAATAAAAGATTGTATTGCTCTAGTTTGTTCCTAAGTAACAGACACAGAAATAGGATAAAGCAAGTGGAGAATTTCATCCTTCAAAATAAATTATGTGAACATACATAACTCACGTAGTTCCTATTTCTCTCAGGATTTCTTCAGAAACTGCACTCCTGCATTATTTAGACTTTTGTCCATTTGTTACATGCTTTTCTGCATGGTAATATAATCAGGAAGAGCAGGGTTTTTATCTTTGGTAATTTTGGAGATGATTTATTCAAAGCACTGTGTAATTCAGCACTTGATTCAATTTTTGGTGACTCTAGTGTCCATTTAGAATTTGCATCATCCTTTGAAAAGTATTTGCCATTTGATGTCCTTATTTTTCGTATGTTGGACCATAGGTTGCTTTAATTTGATCTATTGTTCCAATTAACGTGGTCCAGAGTTTGTCACTGGAATTCAGACACCTGGGCACAATTCCTGGCTTATCCATGCCTGCATCAGGTGGCCTTCAGCTAATTATTTTTTGCTGGAGTCCATTTCACATCCACAAAGTGGGAAGAATTACTGCCTCCCCCTAAAGGTTATAAGAATCAGGGAAATATCATAATAATGCAATAGCTAACGAAGTGCCATGGGTAGCACTTTAGAATGGCTCTGTTGCTGAACTTCAAAAAGTTGAACCTCCGCTAAATAAAATCATCTCTACCTTTCTTTGGTCTTTCTCTTCAGTTTGAGATCCAGTGGATGTTGATTCATTGTGACCCTCAGCGACCTCAGCGAGAAACGTGCAGTGAACTTACAGCCAGGAGCTCGGTAAGAAAGAAAATGGTTTAAGGTCAACAATTAAGTGCGCTTGTGCTGCAGATTAAAAACTCCCTAACATGTTTCCTTTCCAAAGTTATTAAAAGAGACTGAAGAAATAGATGGGGTGGGCTGAGGGCTGTTGTCGTCTGACAGCTCTGTTTATGGCACAATCAAGGCGAAAGCTGCTGGAAGGTATACAGAACTACCTGCAGGGCAAAGGGTTAAAGAGCGCATGTCATTCAATCCCTCCTTTCCAGCCACCAGCTTTTCCTCCGATATCTCTCTCCGCTACCCTCCTCCACAGCCCTTCATTAGCAGAATAACTGAGCCTTTTCCAGGCTATGGCTTTCTAGGGCTTTGGGAGGAGTGCTTCTGGGGGCAATTTCCTCCCCCCACCCTGCTCACATCCTATAATCCGTCAGTGGCAATTGATCAGGAGAAGGTTCTATGGCTAACTCTCTTCAAGGCAAGACGTTGCCCTCCCTGCTCTGGATTTTCCTGCAAGTGATCTGCCTTTGTCTATCTCAAGTAAGTTTTTCCCTGACTTCTTCTTTTCTTTTCAGATAGCCGAGACGACCATCAGGGTAAGTTTGAAAAGCAGGATGTTTGCTCAGTGTAGAGGGGTGTGTGTGAAAACATTTCTCTGTCCTCTTCAACAGAGGGTCTGAGCGGTTCTGCATCCTCTCAATCTGCTCTAAAAGTTGTGCTCTTCTTCCCTTCGATTTTACCCATGGGTTCTTCTCCCCCCCCCCACATCTCTCTCTCTCTTTTTTTTGATGGGCAGTATGGATAGTTGTAATGATGCTGCTATATCAGAAAAGATACATATGCTGCACTGAGCTTGCCAGGGGCATCTAAGGGTTGCAGACAAAAGGCTTAACTTGGTGGGACTCTGGTTGCAATCCTGCAGGGCAGTTCTCATTTCCCTCACCCTCGCCGAGACTGATTTTCAAAGATGTGATTTATGCAGAGAAGTGGAAGGAGGGTATCTTCTTCCCTTTTGCTGGTGTGTCATCTGTCTTTCAAGAGTAGTTTTACTGTGGCCTGTGTAGCAGGCTGGATCTAGACTTATCCAGTCATACTTAAGAGTAAATCTATTGAAATAAGCTCTCCCCTCACAGTTTAATTGGGTTATACGCTTATTGATTTGTTTGGCAAATAAGCAAATAATTCTCCTCTCCTTCCCATTGTATGCGTAGAATCTGGCAAGCCCTCTGCACGGAACAGAATGTGTAAAGTTCAAATAATTCTCCTCTCCTTCCCATTGTATGCATGGAATCTGGCACGGAACAGAATTTGTAAAGTTCTGTACAACCTTTCTCTTCTGCAGAGCACAGTGAGGTATTATGGACACATACTTAAGGTGATTTAATCAGTTACTACAGTGAGGTATTATGGACACATACTTAAGATGATTTAATCAGATGGATGCATACTTAAGGTGATTTAATCAGTTACCACTTGGAACCCTGTTACAGCCACAATCCAAGTGGTGAAAATATGGTTTCATTTTAACTTACTGATTAATCAACTGAACAGTGGTATGTGATACTGAGATATTGAGAAAGAAGTTTGCAGAAGGAATGTTTCCCATCTTACTCTTCATCCTGCCATTACCTGCACTCTCCAAATACTGTACAGTAATGTGAGATGGAGTAAGTGGGGCTTTTCTTGGGTGGAGGGAACAGAAAACGTCCTTCCAAGGAATTTCACTGCGCTGGTCTTTCTGAGGCTCCCAGCCAGTTAGTTCACAGTGCAGCTTTTTGTTCACAAAAATAGACCGAAATTCTAGGGGGATGGTCTCGCAGAACTGGTGTGTCACAAGCCACCATCTTATATCCAACTGCTACAATAAGCAATAAACCTTTGGAATGAGCGGGAGATAGGTGTGAACCCTATTTTAAGACTAAATCTCCAAAGAATGTCTCAAACAAAAGTCTAAATGACTAAATCAATCTGTTCCAGCACAAGTGAGGCTTGGAAAGTTTACTTCCTGCAGGCTGTCGTTGCTAGAATCTCACAGCCAGCATTGCCAGTCCCAAATATTGGCTGGGGAATCTTGGGAGTTGTAGACCAAAACTGTAACTTTCCCAATCTTTGGACACAATGACCAAAACATCCCCCCCAAAACTTGAAATCAGCAAGATTTCTTTTAACATGTATCTCTGTGGAATATTGTGCTTATTTCATAGACACAAGAATAATAAGTAATTTTAATTTTTTTTAAATGAAGAAAACACTGTGGTGTCCCTGACACTCTTGACTAGTTTATTTTCACATGTACTACAGGCTCAAATACAACTCACTCTTTTGCAATCTGCATTTTTTAAAAATGGGCTTTTAAAGTGTTGGCTGTGAAAACTATGGCTAGAACTGGAATTCCCACAGCTCAAAATTGACAGGCAAATAGGTGCCCCAGAAGCTGCTTTCACCATTAGTAGTTCACCTTCTCTGCAAGAGGTGTGAGGGCAGAGAAAGGGGCCTCAGAGAAGCTGAATTTATACAAAGCACCTATTGTGAAGCTAACCCTGCCTGGCAGTTGGAATTTAGTCATAAAAAGCAAACAGTGGGACTATGTTGCAGAATTTCAAGGCCCACCACAAAATTATTTTGAAATATGGCTCTCTTGAACACTCTGGGGTTTTGCAAAAATGTATTTTAGGAAGGTGCAAAACGTGTGTTAAGAAAGAAAGAAAAAGAAAGAAAGAAAGAAAGAAAGAAAGAAAGAAAGAAAGAAAGAAAGAAAGAAAGAAAGAAAGAAAGAAAGAAAGAAAGAAAGAAAGAAAGAAAGAAAGAAAGAAAGAAAGAAAGAAAGAAAGAAAGAAAGAAAGGTCTTTATTTAATTGAAAAATCTCTACAAAAGAAAACATTTTATAATGGGCCAGAGTGGGTTATGTTCTCAAACATTTTTTTAAAATACAGTATATGTCTCTGATAAAGTACACCTGGACATATAGATTTAATAGGGGTAACTGTTGCTTGACAGAGTGTTGTGAACACTGGTGCTTATTTGCAGAGGTGGGATTATTTTCTCTCACAGGTTGATTGTTGATGTTACAAATAAGTTAGTGAAAAACCGAAACCACATTTTTCTTTCTCTATTTGAGCACTGAATTTGTCATAGATGGAGCATATCCTCTTTCCCTCTCCAGACTGCATTGGAAAAATATAAAATTTATTAACTCTGCCTCCCTCCCCCACCCTCAGTGATCAGCAGTACCACCACAGCTTAACTCCTAGTGCCAGGCAATTTACATACCTTTACACAAAACTTATGGAACCATTAGGTTCTCCAAGATCTTTCTTTGGTCTCTTCAACCCCTTGGGGCCTAGAAGCATTCTGGGGAAATCAAGATGTCAGGAGGAACTGCAGGTTCAACCTGCAGCATGCCTGGACTTTTCCCACAAGAAATGAAGAACGAAGGAGCTGCTGCCTTTGCTGCTTCTTTACAAGGTGGGAGGAGAGTAGAGAGAGAGAGAGGGGGGGGGAGAAATAGAAAATGGAGGTAAAGAGTGAATGGGGAAGAGAGTAAGCAGAGGATGGGAGAGTGAAAAGAGAAAAAGAGAGAGCGAGGATGTTGGTGGGAGAGGTAAACGACAGCATCTGGCAGAAGCATGGAAGAGAGTGAGTGCTGGAGGAGAGTGAGAGGAGACACACACATCAGGAGGAGAGATGAATCCAGGAGGTGGAATAGACAGGACTGCCTCATGGCCCTCTCTACTTTGGCGACACCACCATAGCCCTGCATTGTGCTGCTGTGGCAATATATTCTCCTTAGAAATCTCTGAAATATCTCTCCCCTGTCCACTACAGTACATACCATAGTGATTGGCTGACTGGAAGTGGTTAAAGGGGGTGGTCCTCCAATTGGTGCTGGACCGCGACTCCCATCAGCCCTCCACAACACAGCTGATGGCTAGGAATGTTGGGGACTGCCATCTAATAACATTCAGAGGGCTGCATCTTCCCTTCGCTAAATTCTTGAATGTAACAACCTTTTATAGAATGTAATGTGTGGTTGTGTAACTGCTATGGACTATTTGGTTCAGCCCAGTGGGTGAGGATATCTTAGGAAGGACCTGTGATTCAAGATCTGAGTTGAGAAAGAGCAGGAGAGGCTGGTGTGGCGTCCACCCTCGTGCCCCTTTTGCTTGACAGTCAAGCCCCAGAGCACACAAAGGCAAACAATTCTCTCCTTTCACTGCTGCCACCAGGTGATCTCTATATCACCATTACTTCAGAAAGATTCAGGTCCACTCTTCAAGTTCTTTTAAATAAAACTTTGGTTTATTGATTGCAGAAATTGATTCATAAATATCTTCAGTACCTAATCACACCTCAGAATTTCCCAAACAGCAAGCACTATTACTCTCTCTGACTTTTCTCTCCTGCCTGACTCTTACATTTCTCTTACTGACCACAAACTGACTCAGGCTTCGCCTCTTATAGCATCTCTCTTGGCTCCGCCTCTCAGCAACATTACTATGCATGAACCATTATTACATAACAAACATAAACCATTACATAGTATAACATGAACCATAGACCTAATAAATATAGAACGCTACAGAAGGGGTGACTGGTCCCATGGAGGATAATGTGGCCCTTGCCACCTTCCTTGGGTGAAAGCTTTACTTACAATAAAATAGCAAAGAGCAATAATTAAAAAAACAATATAAACAACAATAATAATGTCATTCAGGATGGAAAGGTAAAGATCAAAATAGATAAGTAAAGTGAAAGAGTAAAGATGAAAAAGTAAAAATCAAGTAGTGACACGAGGAAAGGCCTGCCTAAAGAGGACTTACGTCGGCTCTTAAAAACACCCAGCGAGGGAGCCAGGCAGATCTCTGATGGGAGACTATTCCAAAGTTGAGGGGCCACTGCCGAGAAGGCCCGGTTTCTTGTTCTTTCTTTCCTGGCCTCCCTCGGTGTTAGGCCCCTCAGCTATCTTTCCTGGCTGTAACGAGTGATTCGAGTAGATCTAGGTGGGAGGAGGTGTTCCGCTAGATATTGAGGTCCTGAACTGCTTAGGGCTTTATATGTCATCATTAACACTTTGAAATCAATGCGGAAATGAACAGCAGCCAATGCAAGGTGGCCAAAGTGGGGGAAATACGTTGGTGTTTTCTCATCCCACTAAGGAGTATGACTGCTGCATTCTGCGCCATTTGAAGCTTCTGCATCAGTCTCAAAGGTAGCCCTACATAGAGCGCATTGCAGTGGTCTAATCTTGAGATTACAAACACATGGACCAGAGTGGTGAGGGCTCCACCATCAAGATAGGGACAGAGCTGGGCAATCCGCCACAGATGGAAATAGGCAGAGCGGACCACTGATGCCACCTGGGTTTCCATGGTGAGTGCCATATCCAGATGGACTCCCAAGCTGAAAACCTTAGTCTTCGTGGTGAGAGTTATTCTCCCAAAAGAGAGGGAGTTTCCCAAACCACCAATGGAGCGGCTGGCCACCCTCAGGCCGATAAGGCTTGGATCTGTTTCCTTTATGTTATGTATCTCCTGCTTTGGTCGATGAATATATTGGGGACTTCATTCTCATTTGGCTTCAAATAGACATTTAGATTTTCCCTGTTTCTTTAAGCAACTCCTATGCTGGTGCTGATGAAAACAACTCTCTCTCTCTCTCTCTCTCTCTCTCTCTTGTTTACACATTGTAGTATCCAGTTTGGGGCTGTGCTTATATCTCCATTGTCATCCTCAGGGGAAACAGTAGCTCCTGCCGTTGGGCTGAACCAAATAGTCTCTTAGGGGTTGCAGTTGCATTGGTCTTGCGTAGTCCATGGTGGGGGGGGGGGAGGAGGACCAGACAAACTAGGGTTTTGAAAACTCTGACCAAAACAGCAGCACAGTTCAGAAGGACAGTTATAGTACTCTGGGTCACTGGAGCAGGGAAGCTGAACTCTTGCCACAGAAGGTGAGAGTCGGAAGTATCCACAGCTTCCCTTGAGTGTGTCTGCCAACTTTCCTGTTCCCTTAAGTGTGCCGTGATTTCGACACCGCCTCTTCCACCGCTGTTTTGACGGCTCTTTTCTTTTCCCTCCAGAGAGGCCCCCCAGGTCCACAAGGCCCTCCAGGCCCCCCTGGGCCCCCAGGAGTTCCTGGCATCGATGGCATAGATGTAAGTATAAATTGCGCATGTCCTAAATAGTGCAGTACAACACAGCTGGCCGTTGAGGAATTCCTCCCTTATGGTCATACAATGGAGTTGCTGTCCCTTCTGTGAGTATATTTTAACATGCAATCCTTGCCTTTGGCAGTACTCTGTTGTGCCCTGTTCACTGGAGGTAGAAATTATTTAGTGGTTCTCTCTGCCAAGAATCCTAGGTCTGCATTCCAAGTCACGTATCACAAACGGCTAGTGGAATGAACCAAGCTTTATTTTCCACGTTAGCTGTATTAGTCCTATAATGAGATTTCTTCTCATTTGTACTAGGTATTATGTGAGATTAGTATTTACAATCTGCAAATTACATTAAATGAAATTAGCAGGAATGGAGTCTACTAGCACTACTAGCATCCAGGGCTTCTCCTGATAATATATGTGCTTGTCTTTTAGATGTGAAATTGTAAAAGCAATTACAAGATTTCAAATGCATCTTATTTTACTTTTTCTCCTTTTCTATTCCACTAGGGTGACAGAGGCCCTAATGGGCCACCAGGCCCTCCGGTAAGTGGCTGATAGCACTTTGTGTGTTTTAGTCAAATATTGCATGTGGAATAGCTTATCTTCTCTGCCTACATCTATGGTCTTAATTTATCAGTACCTAAATGCTTCCTGCAGGGTCCAGATGGCGATTCAGGTAAACCAGGTGTCCCTGGAAAACCAGGAATACCAGGAGCTGATGTGAGTAGCATTCTACTTTTCTCCAAACAAAGCAAATTCTGTGTCCATGAGATGTGCCTCTGGTGTGATTGCAGTTTAGGCCACCAATCCTAACATTTCTCAATGGAATCTTTCAAACTAATGGAAACATTCCTAGGAGAGAATGCATTCTTTCCCAAGTAGCTTGGAGGGAGGGTACTATTGTTGCCTTATATGTTACAGGGCAACATCCTTTTTTTTACCTAGGATAGGAGAGAAAAATAGGAAAGGAAATGCTAAGATATGCTGTGTAGAAAGCACCAGTAGCAGGAAGGTTAGTGCGATCAGTTTCTGCTGCAAGACAGTGATTCAAGATTTGTTTGGGTTGAATCAGCACCTGCAGTGATCTTCCTTTAATGGTATAGCCGCGTAATTTGAAGCATTGGTCTTAATGTCCTTACTGAAGCCTGCAAATGCAAAACATACAATTAGATTTTTTTTTATTTCTTAGATTGCAAATCCTTTAATTCCCAATTCTGACGGTTCTGCCTGAATGTCCACATACCAAGGGATGTGGTGGTGTCTCATCTCAACGGAATCTTTCAAACTAATGGAAACATTCCTAGGAGAGAATGCATTCTTTCCCAACTAGCTTGTTGCGTTATCATATGTTACAGGGCAACCTCCTTTTTTTGCCTAGGATAGGACAGAAAAATAGGAAAGGAAATGTTAAGATATGCTGTGTAGAAAGCATCAGTAGCAGGAAGGTTAGTGAGACCAGTTTCTGCTGCAAGACAGTGATTCAAGATTTGTTTGGGTTGAATCAGCACCTGCAGTGATCTTCCTTTAATGGTATAGCTGCATAATTTGAAGCACTGGTCTTAATGTCGTTACTGGAGCCTGCAAATTCAAAACATACAATTAGATTTTTTTAAATTTCTTAGATTGCAAATCCTATAATTCCCAATTCTGAGGGTTCTGTCTGAATGTACACACACGGACTAAATGTCAAGGGGAACCTGTACCTTGAACAGATATTTAAATGTGGCTCACCCGGGATCACACCTTAGCTAGGCCTCTTAGCCTCCCAGTTTAGGTATTTTCTCTCAGGTGATAGGCATTTAGGAATCTGTAAAGTGTGTACAAGTCTGGTAGAACTCCCAGAATGGGAATTATGGGATCTGTGGCCTAAGAAATCTGAAAATCCTACCCCTATTCACATTTTCTGTGAGCTTCAGGTTAGTTGTAGCTTTCCCCTCCTTTGGTGTGCTCCTCTTCATTGGACTAATTTTGCATTCTGTGCATGCATGTCTGGTTGGGCTAAAGGAGACCCTGTCATAGGGGGAGACATGTTTGATGATTGCCCTGACACGATTGCAACACTATGCTTGGACAAAATGAAGGCCACAGTTGGAGTGGATCCCTTCTCCCCATAGCTCTCTGCATCCTTCCAGATCTGCTTGGGAGAGCTTAGAGGCTTTCTAGGAGAGATTTGATGGGGGCCAAGAGAGGAGATGGAAGGGAAGTCCAGTTGTGAAAGTGAATGTCTACATATGTATTGTTGTGTGTAATACACTGAAGTGGCAGAGTCCAGAAAAGGTTTACTCCTTCATTTAGCTGAATGGATAAGATAAACATCTACACTGAAAACTTTGACCATGACTGTGATTTAGATATCACAGTCTGCCAAAGGATAACTTCGTTTTTTCTGGAGGTTTAAAGTTGATTAGATTTCTGCTATGGAGCTTGAGCAAAAATTCATCAGATGGAATAAAATGGAGATCTGTAGCACGTAAAAATCAGTGCCTAAGAATCCTGGCTTAAGTGAAACAATTAATTTTTTGGATTTCAGCTACCAGTCCTTTGGCAGGTTTGAAGTTGCTAGCATAAGAAATGGTGATGTATTCCTTCAGACAGTAAAATAATATATGGCACCTAACAAGGAAAGCATGATAATAAAAATATTTCTTTTTGAGAAGCCTCTCCTGCCTTCAGCTTTACACCTCCATAGTTTATGTGGGGTTTGTAATGTTTTAAAAGAATCTTGGCAGATGAATTCATGGTTTTAGAACAGTAGCTGAGGTGCAGATTGTTTTGAATTGTCTATCAAGTGAATATCATTTCATTTGAACACTGTGCTCACTCGCAAAAATACATGTAGGTGAAAATGAGAAAGAGTTTTGAGCTTGTATGGGGCCTCCCTCCTTTTAGTTTCCAAAATGTCATACCATTTATATTCCATCCCTACCCACAGAATTATCTCCTCCTCCTCCTCCTCCTCCTCCTCCTCCTTGGTACCATGTAGATTATCCTTATGGAAAAGTGTACTTAGGCTCCAGGTTGCATATGACACAGTGGGAGGAATGGAAAAGCATGCATTTTGCTCCTGTAGCTCTGAATGTTCTTCGCTAAACTGGTAACCTCCAGCTGTGTTGGACTACATCATCACCAGCCAGAATGGCCATTGGTCTTTTATTACCAGTTCTGGGAAAGGTTCATGACTAGCCTTCAAGTGCATACCACTTAAAATGGTTGTTTAAAAGGATACTCACTGTTCAAATACACATAGAAGCTAATCCACTCAGTTCTTTATGAATACTGCTAAAGAAGCACACTTTCAGAAGAGGAGCTAATAGAGATGGCGGGAACCAGCAACAGCAAACCTCCTCAGAGGGAACAGCACAGACAAGAGTAGGAGAAGAGCATACAGTGGTTGACTGTGTTTGTGCCACCTGATGTCAGTTCATTGTTGTTTGGTTATATGTTTTATTTGATTTTGGGTTTTGTTGTGTTATATGTACACTGCCCAGAACAGTGCTGTGTGCTAATGGGGCAGTAAATGAATGAATGGATGAATGAATGGATGAATGAATGAAATAGAGGCCTGAAGGTTGTCTATAATGTAATAAAAAACTTACATAAGGATTATAATTCAGAATGTGATCATCATTCAGCACAGAACTATTATGGCCAATTCATGGATATTCTAATTGTGGGAGACCATCAGGAAACAATTCCTGTATGCCGGGTTAAAATCAATGTTCTGCAACAAACATTCACTTCCAAAATGAAACTTTCTTCCCCGCCCCATTTGGTCCTCCATGTTGCTTCAGATCGAGTCTCAGAGGGGTTCCCAGCCCTCACAGTTAGTTTTTGGGGTGCACAAAAAGCAAAAGAGGAAGGAGAATTGACCCCCTTCCTTTTTCAACTGACAGTGGAACCATCCACAGATGGTTCCATCAGCAGAACCATCACATTCAATTCTGGCCATAGATACTTTGTGTGGAGAAATGGATAGCGTTGTGGATTAGGATTGTAGAGGTCATGGTTCAAATCCCATTCAACGGTGAAGATCACTGGGTGAATTTGGGCCAAGGTTAACCTAATTTACAAGTTTGTTGTGTGGCTAAAAGCAGGGAGATACAGAGCATGTTCTCTGCAGGTCATTGTCAACATTACTTTATGGGTTGCAGTAGGACCCCTATATCTGTAGGATTGATATCCGTGGTTTCATTTATTTGTGGTTTGCTGCAGCCCTATATATAACAGATGAGGGTGCCTCCTTGTGGTCTTTCCCCCATTATATGCTGTATACCTGTATAAGGTTTCCTCATATCCACAGGTTCAAGCATCCTTGGTAGATGGTGGAACCAGTCCCCTGTGGATATGGGGGTCCCAACAAAGCAGATTTTTCCATCTGTGGTCCTTGGAGGACAGGTAGAATAAAAAGGAAACTGAAATATGCGGAGAACCTTTTTAAAAAGTTCTATGCACGTTGTTTCTGAAGACTTCTGTACCTCACGCTACTATCCATAGGTTTGGGAAATAAGTAAAATGTGTGTCTGTGGCACACAAAGATGTTAACTATGGTGTGTAATCTTAGTTGTTTGTTTAGCTTTAATCAGGAAAAAAAGATTAATTTAGAGGAGTCATAGTGTGTCCGAGTCATAGTGTGTCCAGAAAGGTAAAGCAAATTAGCTTTTAATTGCAGCTTTGAAGTTTTAAAACACATTTTCCTGATTATTTATGGTGATAGCAATAATTTCCCCTTTTCTTTTTTTTTAAAAAAGGTACATGTGTCAATTGTATTGCATATTTAATTTGCAAAATATTTTTCCTCAGAACAATCTAGTGACAAAAGTCATATTTTATAGTCGTGTGAGGCAACGGAAATTCTGATCCATAGGGGTGGTTTATGGGCTGAGCATAGAGTGGGGGTTTAACTCCCAAACTTCTTCTGGTGATAGGTGGGAGGTACTCTTCGGCTGCAGTCATGAACTGTCGTTTTGATTCACCCAATTTGAGCCAACAGAGATAAAATGAAGCCCCCTATATGTCAGAACAATCTAGTGACAAAAGTCATATTTTATAGTCGTGTGAGGCAACGGAAATTCTGATCCATAGGGGTGGTTTATGGGCTGAGCATAGAGTGGGGGTTTAACTCCAAAACTTCTTCTGGTGCTAGGTGGGAGGTGCTCTTCTGCCGCGGTCATGAACTGTCTTTTTGATTCACCCAATTTGAGCCAGCAGAGATAAAATGAAGCCCCCTACAAACTTAATCTTTCCTTCTTTAATCTATTTTTTATTACATATTGCCATCTTGAAGAATATATTTATTGTTTATTGTTTGTTGTTTATTGTCTACTGCTTATAGTATATTATTGATTTTTTAACTTTTTATTTGTTATATGTATATGTCACTGTATTTTTACATGTTTGGAAGCCGCCTAGAGTGGTCATGCTGACCAGATAGGTGGGGTATAAAACAAACAAACAAATTTCTGGGCTGCATAGTTTATGGGTTGTTTGGTATAAAACAAACAAACAAACAAACAAATTTCTGGACTGCATAGTTTATGGGTTGTTAGTTTTATTTCCATTGTTCCTATTCTGTAATTATTTGGGTATCAGTGAGCTGAATAACTGTGTCAGTAGGTGACAGGTGAATCCATTGGCTTTTGCTCTCTCTCTTTAGTACAAAAAATGTACCAAAATGCAAACATAAATATTTGGGCTTACTGTATGTTTTTTTACATTAAACTTAACATGTTAGGGTCATTAAATGACAGCATGGCCTTATGTTTGAATACAATGTAGAAGCTATGACACACACCCCCTCTGTGTGTGTGTATGTGTGTGTGTATATATCTACTATATGTATATGTACAGATATGTACTTTAAATTAATAACTGTGAAGGAAAAGCAAACCTGTATCAAAATTAATGTTTTCATACTTTAAAATGTTCTTTAATAGCTCTCCGATTTTTAAAAAAAATTCAGTGAACAAATGGTAGTTTTTAAAAGGCAAGATCTTTTAGTTCTAGCTCTTTTGGCTACAAACCACTTATTAAAGAAAGGCAAAAATTGGATTGCTTTGGCTGATATTGTTAAGTCATGTAAAGCTGATAATTAATGCAGAGTGGTTTTTATTCAGCTATTTGCTTGTCTAATTTTTATATTATGGTTGAAGTCAAACCCCACTGTAAGAGTTATACAATTGATATCAGATGACAGCATTGTTTTTATATGAAAAAAAAGAAACAACATAAAACTCAAACTTAAGACAAATGCAGGTTTCAGACCAAATGTTGCATCTATATAATAATACATGTTATACTTTTCCTGTGACATTTTTCATATCCTTGTCTTGGAGTTGAGCCCTAGGTTTCTTTTTTTCTCCCAACTGTAGGAATCATTCCATGTGGGAAGGAAATCTTTTCACCCACCCTTACAAACACACATAAAAATGTGTTGCTTTGTTTTACTATAACTGTAACACAGACAACTTTTTTTTGTTTATTTATTTTATTTATTTATTGGATTTTTACCCCACCCCTCTAGACCATGTCTACTTGGGGCGGCTTACAAAATAAAATGGATCAGTATAAAAAATAAATTTAAGTTTTAGCATTTTCTAAACAACTTCTTCTAGCAAGCAAAAATGTAATTATTTCTGCACTAAAAGTTTATTCCCTTTTTCTCCAGGGACTGACAGGTCCTGATGGATCACCAGGTCCAGCTGGTCCGAAAGGACAAAAGGTGACTAAAACCCATTATTAGATTTTCTTTCAGTTTTTCAAGCTTGGGGCTATTTATACCATCACAAATAGTCAAGATATTTGCTAGCTGTTGATTCAGAGTTTTATTATTAGAGAGTGCAACATAGCTGTAAAACTATCCCAAGTCCTCATTCAATCCCTTCCAAATTATTTTGTTCACTGCAGTAGTATTTCTTGATTCTTCAAAGTAATATGAAACTTTGTTTTTTTAACAGGGTGAACCTGGGTTGCCTGGAGGCCCTGGACTACCTGTAAGTGATCATTTTAAATGTGATATCTGTTTACATAATACAATTGTTTGATGTTTGCTAAGAAAGGCTTTTTTTTTAAGTCAGAAGGAAGTCTTCCATCCATAATCTTTGAGGGATTCAGTAGGTCTAAAGCAGAAGTAAAGCAGAAATCAGGATTCCTACCTTAAAATCAGGTGTAATTACTTACTCACAGTCTTCTTAGCTTTAATAAGGGCTGCCTTTACAATTAAGAGCTGCCTTTTAAAAACTACTTTCTTTGTGTGGTCTGTGCTCTTAAGGTGCATTATGGTGACCCTCATAGAGTTTTCAAGGTATGTGAGATATTTAGGGAGTGTTTTTACCAGAGCCACACTCAGTGAGTTTTCATGGCCTCAGGAGACCATGTCTCCTGAGTCCTAGTCTGTTTATACCACACAGGCTTTCCTTAATGGTAAACAAACAAACAGGCAAGCAAGCAGTTTAATAAATAAGATTGGTTATATCCTGCAGAAGACACAAATCTGCAGAGCCCTAGCTGGAGTTCGGCACTTGGAGTGCAGTGTTTCTGTATATACCGTCCTTTCTTATGCAGCTTCTTGTGCTCACCAGAAGGCTGGGGATTTTCTCCAGAGGTACAATTCAACTCAGCAGGAAAGACCTCATGTGGAAAGCAAATACGGCAAATCCTTCCCCTTTCCATTTATACACCTGGCTCTGTGGAGCCCTACTGCTGTATGTCTTATAACCATTGTCCTAAATTCAATTGTTAGTGTCTAGAGTAGCAGGTATGTGGGAAGTTGGCACTTACGTTAAATTCCTTAGATTCAATGGGTATACTCTAGCTGGGACTAAGAACTGGTTTTGAGTCAGTGAGTGTAGATCTGGCAGCCAAAGACTCAGTTTAAGTGTGAGTGTGGGGTGATGGATTAGCAGTGGAGAAATTCAGGTACAAATTTGCTTTCAGCTATGAAACACATACAATAATCGATTATGCAATATTTCTCAGCCTAGTTTAGCTGATGAGATTATGATAATGATCAACCGTGAGTAGTGTTTATTTACATTATTTATTTGCTTTTATTACTGGATTATTATTTATTTTTTCCACCATGGGCCACTTTCAGACTGCCTTCAAAGAAAAGATCAAAGAGTAACACATTACAGCAAAATATTTAATTAGAGGAAGAAGGACAGAAATAAGATGAATACTGTAGGGAAACCTTAGTTTGTTGGCTCAAGACAGTTACAGATTGTGACTCAACAGGAGGTATGTCTGTCTGTCTGTTTGTTTGTTTGCTAAAATGTTAAACACTACGTGAAGCTGAGGATAAACAGGATGTTGTGAAACAGTTGTGAAAGGGGTGTGTGAAAGCAGGATAATGTTTTTTATCCATATTGCAAGCAAATTGCTATAGTTTGTGGGGAGGCAAAGCTAAGGTGGTCCTTGCAAATGCTGGCTTCCCAGTGGAGAGATTTTACAGAGCATGTGGTGAATGAATGATTGTTCGGAATAACTTGCAGTAGCTGCCAATTTCAGCAGACTGAAAAGAGGAAAGTCACCTTGAGGGGTTTTCATAACTATGTTATTTGGAGGGGGGCAGACTACACCCTGTGGAGATGAAGTGTATCTCTGAGGTATAGAGATCTACATCTATAAACCAAAATACCAGCAACAGTTTAAGATACAGCAAAAACAATCTCCCTTAAAGCATAGCATCCTGACCCCTTGTATGATGTGGATAGATAGCTCAAACCAACCTGGCTGATGATGGGATGACATGATGCATTATAGCCATTATGATGCTGGAAACCATTGCTATTGGCAAGTAGCAGCTATGGTTGCATAGGGAAATTGAGTAAACCCCTTATAAGGCCCGAAACGGTGGGCGAAAATAACATATCATGAGACTAAAGCTGGCTTCTCTTCATGCCATGCTGACATTTGTTTGACCACCATTTGTGTTGCCACAAATCTCCAGGCTCCATATAGGGCATGTTATTTGTTAACCATTAAAATTGACAGGCAGCAAAGAGCAGCCATTTGGCCCTCCTTTGCCTGTACAGGATGCGGTTGCAGAAACAGCAGGAGCAAACTGTTCAGTGTACTGTTTCATTGTTGGATTGAACTGAGGCCAAAACAGAAAGGATTCTGTGGTACCCGGTTAGCATGGCACACATCAGCTGAAGGTCTCCTTTCTGAGAATGGAACTCAAGCTTAGGGATATATTTTATTTATTTCCAAGAGAAAAAAAGAAAAAGAGATAGGGTTTATGGAGCAGAGTGATACTGGCCAAGATCTGCTGGAAGAGTGGCTGCTAGCCCAGAAATATTTCCTGCTGAAAGCAACCTAGGAAGCAGTGGGTGTGTTGCCTGACCTGTAACAAGGAGATCTAACAGTGTGGCAGCATATTTTACACAGTCCCCATCTGCGCAGTATGGTAGCAGAAAGATCTTTGGGTGTCGCACCCCCACCAATAGTGTTTATGGCAATGTGATATACAAGTGTGAGTCAGGGTAGCTTTGGCTCTACTTGATCTTGGAACTCCTTTTTTTGGGGGGTGGGGTCCCTATCAGGCCCTAGGGTTCAAAACTGTGCCAGCCTGGACCTAGGGTCTGTTTGCCCACCTGCTTTCAGTAGGAAAGAAAACAATCACCAGCCTCACATGGCGTACATTATGAAACACGATTGTTGGAGTGTCATCAAATAACGTGCTGCTATGATACTCATTTGTGTGCATAGCTGTAAGGGATAAACATACTATGTCTAAAATAGGCTTGTTTTCGGTTTCGTCCAATTTTGCTCATTTTTAATGAGATCAGAGAGGTATTTTATGCTTTTGGCAGAACGGAGATGCTGCTGTGGTTGATTCACATGCCTAAGGGGTCCGTGCATGCTTATATTTAAAAGAACAGAACTTTCATTCTGCTAGATTTTCACGCATTCAGTCTTAAATCTGTTCTATCCTCTTTCCTGATGAGTCTGTGATTATGAATAGTTTTTAAAAGCTACTCCTCCAAGGGTGAAATCCTATTAGTGTTTGTGAAAGGTTCATGTAACTTGCTGCCACCAGTTCTGGCTAATTGATGAAGCGCTGGATCACATCTCAGTTGCATAATCAGCTACTTGAGGAGGAACCTCATGAAGATGTGTTCTGACACCTCATCAGTTTACTGGTGCAGCTGTGGGAAGTTAGACAATCCTTGTGCAAATGCTGATAAGATTCATTTGCAGTGCACCATATCAGGCTGGGTGTTATAGTTTAAAATGCTCCCTGATGTAAAACACTTCTATCATGTAATAAGCCAGCATATCAGAAAGAAAAATGGCAGCCTTTTCTTCTCTGCATGGTGCATTGCCCCCCTACCCCGGAATAATGATGCAAGATAAGTACGGAATAAAACATGGGCCACACTTTATTGAATATTCCTTAATTGCCCTCCTTAAAAGGGAGGTCCTGCTATAGTGTGGAATCAGGTTTTGCACAGGGGTCTCAACAGACTCCTTACCAAACAAATGGGCAAGTCCCTAGCCCCAAGATCTTGTGGTTGTGAAGACAGTGAGAGCCCGGCCGGCCCAAATTTGACCACCCCTGGACCTCAAGCCACCTTCCCCTTGGTGACCTTCGGTCTGGGTGTGGCCCCAGTACATCTTTCCCCCCAAGCACTGTAATCGCACGATCCGCAGTGCTGGGAGGTCAGATGAGCTATACATTACCTGTGATAACAAAGGGGACTCACCAAAACCTGTTCTATCCACACTACCCACCATAGCATAGGGACTAGCAACACTAAATCCCATGCCCGCCATCCATCCTATTGAGCTTCATAAGCAGGCCTCCTTGGATGTCCTTAAGGAGTATATCCAATCCTCTATCCAAGAGGTGCACACCATCATGCCAAAAGAGCGTAGGCTTATCTAAACAGATCTAGTGACCAATCATCGATCCAAGGCCATTGCATACTGCCCAACGCACTTCTTTGTTAACACTCCTCTGTGCAGTGTTAATTTGCTGTGCCTGGCAAGCCATTTTCCACTCATGCTGTTGATTGGCTTCTTGGGCAGCAAAACAAGACATTAGACTGTCCGCAAGAGCTTTAAGCTAAGCGTGTTTATGAGGCCATTGCATACTGCCCAACACACTTCTTTGTTAACATTCCTCCGTGCAGTGTTAATTTGTTGTGCGTGGCAAGCCATTTTCCACTCATGCTGTTGATTGGCTTCTAGGGCAGCAAAACAAGACATTAGATTGTCCACAAGAGCTTTAAGCTAAGCGTGTTTAGGACCCTGGAGTTGGGTCCAATTCATGCTGGCTTCTCATGAGATGGCCAAAATATTGGAGCCTCAGCTTCAGGATTTGTCATTCCAGTGAGCACTCGGGGTTGGTTTCCTTCAGAATGGATAGGTTTGTTCTCCTTGCAGTCCAGGGGACTCTCAAGAGTCTCCTCCAGCACCACAATTCAAAAGCATCAATTCTTCAGCGGTCAGCCTTCTTTATGGTCCAGCTCCCACTTCCATACATCACTGCTGGAAAAACCAGAAAATCAATATTCCTAATTAACTATTTATATTTTGATATATATGTATTTATTACTAATTCAAAGCACACACCTAATCCTGCAAGGTGCCCAACTTACAGAGCTGTATCCCAATATTCCACTCAACGGCCTTGCTTATAAAGTACTATAAATTGTATGTATGTATGTATGTATGTATGTATGTATGTATGTATGTATGTATGTATGTATGTATGTATGTATGTATGTATGTATGTATGTATCCATCCATCCATCCATCCATTCATTCATTCATTCCCAAGATTAATTAATATGAGTAATATATGCTATCAATTCTTCGTATATTTATCTATTACGATTGAATCACAAGTTGAATCAATGGTTTAACTGGTCTTCCTATTGCTTAATGAGTTTAATTTGCACCGAGGCCCAGCTGGCCAGGCTCTGGTGGGTGCGTCCTGCGCTCCCATGCTGCACTCCTTCCTCACTCTTCCCCTTATTAATTTATATAGCTGCCTGTTTTGTATTTAATATTATTGTTATTCTTATTTAATTTTAACAATAAAGTAGAGCCCCTTCTCCCATAAATTGGGAGCTGAACGCTGCTTTCAAACTGTGGTATGTGTGTTTGTGCCAATGCAACCCCCTTCCGATCGCCCGATCGGAGCTACACAGTAAAATTATTCACCAGTTTCAAAGCTCTGTTCTCCTTCATGTCTGAAAGGTAGAGGCTGTTGGGAGAGGGGATTGCCCCTTAAGAAGGGTGCTCCTCCCCCTCCCCTCCCAGATTGCATTTGCGAAACTTAGGCATGTCTTGCGATATCCCGAGAGGGGAGCAATGGTGCTCTGTGCTACCGAAGCAAGCTCGGTTGCGGAACCAGCATTTCCACTGCATGCATGGAGATTTTCTTAAGCTGGGGAGTCACTGAAAATGTAAGATTGTATATAGATTTCATGCTAACATGGGCATAAACCGCAATTTGGTGTGGTTCGCCCTACTTCCCAGTGCTGCCTCCTCAGGCAGGCACCCACTCAGAGGCAGCACTGCAGCTTCCCAGCTTTGCCTCCTCTGGTGTGTGCTCACTCTAGTTGGTTCTTCCACTGATTCACATGCAGTGTAACTGGAACTTGCAGTGCAACTGCAACTTACTTTATCATAGTAAGTTGCTGTTAAATAAGGTCCATTAGAATCAATGCAAATTATGGAAGAATTGATACTAAATCTCCATTTATTCAGTGGGCTCGCTCTAATGTGATTTACTATACTAAGCAATAGGAATTTGGTCATTGTTTAAAACTCTTCATGCTCTGTCTATAGTGCACTATCTCACCCAAGTTAAGTAGACAGTTTAGTTTGCTGGCTCCTAGTTATTACACTCTTTGAAGACTGGTAGCCGTATTTGTTTGTGCAAGCCTATCAGCACAATATCTTGCTTCTAGTCAACTGAGAACAAAAATCCACAATAAAGGTTGGATTAGATTTAAGTTGGCTGTTTATTTTTGCCCTTTCTTACATTTGTCTGATTTTGGGATGGAGAGGGGATGAAACTTCAGGGAAAATCCAACTTGGGGGATAGGGGTAGGTATGTCTGGAAAGCTATTGTCATTGTCTCAAGAGGGAATATCCTCTTCCCTCCCCGCCCCCTAACTGTTTTGTCAAGGTAAATTTAAAGAGCCGATCAGAATAAAGTATATTAATGAGCAGCCATGATGAACAGATGTGTAAAAACTGAGTCATGATGACTCAGCAGTGCTGACTCATGCATGATGCAACACATAATGTGATTGGACACAAGCAGATCTGTATGTGTATATATGTGTGTAACTGAACAGTTGATCTGTCTTCCTGCTTGGTGATGAATGGCACCTCTTATGCTGCCAGACTGAACTGCTGTAAATGTCTTGTAAATACATGTTGGTGGAGGAGAAGCTACTGGTGTGTGCATGAGCTATTCTGGACTACCTGGACTGTTTAATGCTCTTCTAAACCTGCTGTTCTTCCATGTTTATGCACTAACATGTTTGATTTTGGAAAAGATGATAGCAGCTAGAGCGCTGCTCTCCAGACTGTACCAATGAGGCTTCCAGCCTGGCCCATGATCAGCAGCCTTCATGAGTAGAGAGGGTGGAATGCTGATTTCCCTGGTCATTTGAGACAGCTTCCTTTTTATTTGGGAAGCTGGCCTGGTGTATAGCCTGGTGCTGTGAAGAGAAGCACTGGGACCAGTGGATACACCCTCCCCCTTTACTCATATTCATTATGCTCATTGCTTTTGATCTCTGGCCCCAATTTATACTACCAGATACAAGTCTCAGCGGGGTTGGGGAAGATGAGGACGGCAGCCACAGCTGCTTTATCCATAACAGCAGGCTGAGGAGATACCAGGTCACTGAAACTACATTTCATCCACGGCTACTGCCCAAATCCGTGCCCTGCCTATTACTGCTTTTTGCCGAATCTATCTACCCCCTGGTAAGTTTTGGGGTGATGTTACCACAGCCTTGTCCATACTTCCCTTTTTGCTGTTAATAGAGCAGTTTGTAATTTTTTGACATCTAACTTCTTCAAGCCCCACGTTCCTGCTGAATGAGTTTCCTCTTCACTGGGTTTCCCTTTTAACAACACGCGTGGACTTGTATGATGTACTTCAACATCACGAACTGGCGCTTCAAAAGTCAATTAATTTTTTTAAATGGCATGAAATAATATTTACATCACATAATTTGGCACTTATAATAAAAAAACAACCAGTCAAGACTTTAATAATAATACTTTACTGTTCCACAGGTGATTTTTTTTTAAAAAAACTCATTCTAAATGCTCTTCTTGCTGTTCTTTATGCATTTTGATATGTAACAAAAAGTGGATATACAGAATAACAAATTTGTATTAAACATTTCTTTCCCTTCAGGGAAAAGGGACTCCTGGATCTCAGGTAAGCAGCATTTAATTTATTGCTAATAATTAATTTGACAATAGATCAAATTGTTCCAAGGGGATGACTTTGATTATTTTATTTTCATATTCTGCCTATTCATTTGTTACAATTTAAAACAAATAAATAGTAATCTTCAGATATATGATTCCTTTGCTTATCTTTTATTCATTGGACTAGACTATCTTATAGAGTGTTTCACTAAATAAGACCATGCTTTTTTAAATACAGGGTCCTCCTGGCATAGCAGGACTTCCTGGAGAAGTGGGAAGAGTTGGGCCAGCTGTGAGTACTTTACTGCCTGTTCCATTAAGTCAGTGAACAAAATCTTCCTGCTAAATAAACAGCCCATGTTTAAGTAAGGATGCTCTCCATGGTGGCGGCTGACAAATCGGCCATAAGCACACTGATCTAGCAATAAGACCTGGAGCCCATTAGGGTTATATGGGGATGCTGCCATTTACAGCTTCCCCATGAAAAAAATTATCCCAGTTATGGCTGTATTGGCCCAAATCCTGTTGCTTACTGTAGTAAAATGCACTGGAGTCTGACACTGAATCAACGTGGGTTTTTAATGAGTCAACTCCTCAGTTAGAATAAGCCCATTTAAATCAATGGAATTTATGGAAGACTAGATTCACCAAATCCCTATTGATTTTGTTGCTTACTGTAGTAAAATGCACTGGAGCTTGACATTGAATCAACGTGGGTTTAATGAGTGAACTCCTCAGCATAAGCCCATTTAAATCAATGGAATCTATGGAAGAGTAGATTCACCAAATCCCTAATGATTCAATAGGTCTGTTCAAGTAGGATTTACTACACTAAGCAACAGAATTTTGGCCATTGTTTGAAACCGTTTGCTCTGTGACTATCTAATACTGTGCAAATATTCACCACCACAAGAAAAAAAACATGTATGATGCACAACTTGAGGTCTGTTCAAGTAGGATTTACTACACTATGCAACAGAATGTTGGTCATTGTTTGGAACTGTTTGCTCTGTGACTATCTAATACTGCACAAATATTCACCACCACAAGAAAAAAACATGTGTGATGCACAACTTGGGAAAAAGAAAGAAAACAAACTGTCTAATCTATTACCGAGCTGCTGGGCCCACAGCAAGAACACAATGGGCTTACAAAGTAACATCATGAATCTCTCCAGCCAAAAACTCAGCCAAGAAACAGAGTTAGTCTTTACATGGGGCCTGCAAGATGATACAGCTCTGTGGTAACTTGGAAGCCCTTGTCCAAAGAATATTGCCTTTACTGTTGCTGCTATTTTTGTTTTTTTCTAAGGCTTGGGTTCTAAACTAAGTGAATAGAATGTTTCCCTCCCCATCTCCTTCCTGTAGCAGATTACCATTCCTGGAAAGCCCCCCACCCCGGACAGCTACAGGGCCTTTCTGGACACTGGTGGATGTGGCATATGGGGCTGCTGAGGAGAGAAGAATTGTCAAAAATTGGGTCTTTCCTTACGGGTGATTACTGCCTTCTTCAGGAGTCTCACATGGCCCTATCCAAATTTATCCAACAGGGAGTGTGCTAGGAATCCCTAGAGTGTTCCGTGACACTCTGGAGAAGCTTTTAGAGCATACAGACACTTACAGAAGAGAGAAGGGGATACGCTATTTTCATTGCATTCACTCCATTTTGTCCACTTACCTTTGGGTTTGAGTCAGGAATATTATCTCCCAGGATGAAATGGAAGCATTTACAAAATAATGCCCCAGTCTTGGTCATTGTTTTGCATTCTGTGTGTGGGGTGGGGATGGGGGGGTGGGGAGCGGGAGACCTCTACTTTGTCTCTCCCATGATAACTAAAAATTGAGATCACTCAGTGAAAAGGATTGGCAGTGTTGGCAAGAGAGGACAAAAAGTGTTACCACAGGAAATACAAAGGGAGCACCTATCAACCTTGGTCAGTATAGGCATTGGTGAGTTGCCATGGAAGTTGAGTTTGGCAACATCTAGAAGGCCACTCATTCTTTTATCACTATGGAGATAAATATTCTACATCATTTCATATGAAGTTCCTGGTAATATCTATAACCACGAACACTGAATTCCTCACAAATGGTCTGAAATTTTAAGTCTTCTGAATTACCAAAAAACCCCCAAAGTATTCCACAATACTCCTTGTTTTAAATATTGTTATGATATTGTATTGCTTCGGAGATACTGTGGGCTTAATTATACATAACAAGAGGGCACAGTCATCACATAGGGGTTGTACTTCGTCTGTGAAAGATCATGTGCTTGAAATAATGTCCGAGTGAGAGAAATTGCGGCAATTTTCATGATTTGTCACAGCAAAAAGTCTGTATAAAGACTCATTTGAATTTGTCTTATCATGACATCCTGTTTTATAATGTAGTAGTTTTACATGGATGGTGGCTTTCCACACAGCCATGTGAAGGAAGCTCCATATATTAAGTTGCTTGTATGAGTGTTTCTGCTATTTAATTTAGGACATGCAAAGATTGCTTATACAATTAATACAAAAAACAAAAAAAAACAAAACAAGGAGTGGGTGGTTACAAGTGGTTACATTTCTTCAAAAGGTACCTGGATGGATATCTGTGTTGGGATCTAATTACATTGTTACATTGCAAGTGTCTATCTGTCTGTGTGGCTGTATGTATAGTAGAGAATTTACAATTCAGTTCAGTGCATGTCTATTAAGAAGTATTTCCCATTAAATTCAGCAGGCCTTATTCTCTGTGTGCAGCTGTGTATAGCTATAGCGATGACATGTGAGACTATTAATGTTCCACACATAATCTTGCCCATTTTTAAGTTATATTTTTCCTGCAGTGGCTGCTACTTTTTCTAAGCAGTTTTAGAACAGGAGATAAGCATGGTTACAGCCTTTCTTCCTCCTGTCATTTAGAGCACTGGTTCTTAACCTTGGGTTACTCAGGAGTTTTGGACTGCAACTCCCAGAAGCCTTCACCACCTGCTGTGCTGACTGGGGTTTCTGGGAGTTGCAGTTCAAAAGCATCCGAGTAACAAAGGTTAAGAACCACTGATTTAGAGCAGCTTCACATTCTGTGCAAGCATAACTTTCTTGAACGTAGACTATGCCCCACAGTATTATTGGTCTCCTTTATGGTTGCTTCAGGCTTGTTTGTAAGAGGCTTGAACCTACTGTATATCTCTTTTATAGTTCATTGGTATGTGCTAGTGATGTCTCTGAACTATTTAGGGTGATCCTGGAAGGAGAGGCCCTCAAGGACTACCAGGACCTCCGGGACCCAGGGTAAGTTTGTGAATGTAATTCTAAAGTTATCTAGATGGGAAATGTCTCACATTTCATTCTGTTTTCCACAGTTCTTGTGGTAATCTGTGGAAGATGATTTCTGTGTAGATGCATTCTTCTGTGGCATTCCCACCAGGGGGCCCATTTAACCCTGTGGCGATGCGGCAATTGTCAAGCCTTTCACCCTGTACAAGATGCCAGTTTTCATATTTGGTGCCATTTATGGAGGAAACATCTGGAATCTTGCACTGTTGCTGGACAGAAAATAGAGGCCAGAGTTTTGTGAACCAATCCAAAAGGATTCTTGGACTGCATTCTTATTTCCCATGGGCAGAGGCTACAACCTCTTCATTATCCACTCATCCTGCCTCTGAATGCTGATTCCTCCTTTCGTAATATTGGAGAACACACTGTGTCTTTTGTCATGGTTGAAGGTGAAGCTCTGCTTTCAGCAGCGTTCAGCAACAACAATGAATAAACAACATGTAAATTCCATGCGAGAAATAATTTGTTATAAATGAATTAGTTACCTTTGATTTTCAAAAAAATGTTATTTTACTCATGTAAAGACCAATGTGGTTATTTTGAGCAATGATTATTGGTTCTTGTTTACTTTAATGACTTTTTGAAGTCATTTGTACTGATTATTTTAAATTTTAATGATTTATCACAATATTTAGTAAATTAATTTTTTGTAGAAATCACCGAATAAGTTAACTGCTCTCATTCATTAGTGTTACTATATTAGGGCTAGCACTAACATTGCCACGCTTTGATCTTAGGCTTACTTCAAGGCAAGACTAAAAATAAAAACAGGCAGAACTCTTTTACAAAGTCATGTTTCACATGCATCTTTCTTTGAGAGGAGACTCTAGGATGGCACTTCATTGTGGGAAACAAACACGGTCACAAGACTTGGTCTAACTTAAATACCGTGCATTGGCATGAATATTTTTCCATGTGGGGAAAAAGTGTCTATGTAGTAGAATTTTTATTAGAATGCCTATCCACTTATCTGCCTTATTATCTAAAAATGGTTGAGTGAAAGAGAGATATTTGAGTTATTTATTTTATTTATCTTATTTTTCATACTTTTATACCTTGCCATCTGACCTGGGGCACACTGTTATTGTGTTATTGAGACAATGAGGTCCATGTAGAAAAACCTTCCACTTCTGACTTATCCTCATGTCATTGTGGTAAAGAGCCTCATAGTACAGTGATTAAAGTGCTGTACTGCAGCCAAACTGTGCTCAGGGTTCAATGCCAGGTAGCCAGCTCAGGGTTCATTCAGCTTTCCATCCTTCTGAGGTCAGTAAAATGAGTAACCAGCTTGCTGGGGTGGGAGGCAAGGTGTAGCCTGCATAATTAACTCGTAAACTGCCCAGGGAGTTCTTAAAGCACTATGGGGCGATATATAAGCAGCATACTTTGCTTTATCCTCTCTCCATTTTCAGGAGAAAATACAGATGGCTTTCTGGGGACAGGTGAAGCAACATTGACTTGTGGAAAGACATTTCAGACTGTACAGAACTGTGTTGTTTCTGATCTTTGTTCATTTCCTCCCATGTTTTTAATTTACTTCAGGGAACAGTTGGCCTTCATGATGGAGATCCATTGGTAAGATATGAATCCTCTTGTGCAGAAGAAACATGCTTTCCTTTAAAAATATGCATTTCTTATTTATTCTTGCTTTGTGACTTCTTTTCTAGTGTCCCAATGCATGTTCCCCTGGCCGACCAGGACATGCTGGACTAATGGGCATGAAGGTAAGACAACTGCTGTGCTTAAATATGTAGCTGGTGCTGAATTCATTTTTGGGGATCTTGGTGCAGTGGCATGAGGGTGGAGGCCTGACATAATACTTTGTAACGTAGCCGATTATTCTAACATTCCCAGAGATGGTCTCTTGAACAGTAGGAAGATTCTAGAATACAGCATAGCTGAAGCTCTGTGGCAGAACTGGGCAATATTCTGTGCATGGGCCACATGTGACCTGCCCAACTATTTCTGCAACCACTGCCACCCCAGGTAGCAGGTGGTGCAGGCCAAATTGGCAGGTCTGCTGCTATTGAAAATTGCTCAGTTCTAGTGCTGCTGATTAAAAAAAATAAACACCCCTTTCTCCCCTGGAAGGGAGAGACATGCTACACTTCTAATTACAAGACTCTATGGTGCAGGAGGACTCTCTTTAACCCTCCTGCATCTGTACCAAAAAAAGAGCTACTGCCTCTGTCGCCAAATTTGAGGCCTGGAACCTCAGTGGCTGGCTTCACAAACAGAATCCAGAAAACATGTCTTGGGGTGTGTGTGTGTGAGTGAAAAGGCCATCACTGTTTTTATCATGGCTTTGCTAAGCTGTATTTTGCAATATCTGCTCACAAGGAGATTAAGAGCAAAAGGTGCTTCTTCAAGTTAAAGGCCAGTGTTAGAGAACGACTGTCACAAAGATGGCTAAAATTTTGATAAGCTGCAAATATAGATTTTAGCCCTTGCTGAAAGGAACCCTCTCTGTTTTCTCATAGTTCATACTGAACATAACTATGTGCAAACAAGACATCTACCTATTGCTTTCTCATGTTCATATCTCTTCCCTTCCTGTCTCTTCTTCTGTTGTTTTTCCTGTGTCACATTTACCTTCTTGGGGCAAGGACCAACCCATTTTCACGGAGTGAAACTCCATACCTATTTGTGGCACCATATAAACAAAACAAGAAGAATCTTTCATTTTACAATTCAAGAGCAAAGGAGAATATACTATAGAAAGGATGATACCAAACAGTTCTAAGCTGGGTTCCCCCCCCCCCACAACATGCTCAAAGTTACAAGTCTGTATATCTTCATAGCTCTTGTCTTTGTCAGAAACACACCAAAATATAAAATGGTTGTCTTTTAAAATCTTCTCAGGAGATACTAGCCAAGGCAACCATTCAGATCTCCTCATATAAGATTAGCCATCTGGTTCTCTTTTCATTTGAAAACTGTTCTTTACATGAATGTTCAAATAATAGTGCTCTGCATTTCCCCCTTCATATATTTTAGGGTCATAAAGGAGTAAAAGGAGAAGCTGGTGAACCAGGAAAACAAGGCCACAAGGTAAGGAGAAATAGAAATTTACTAGTTGAAAATTATTTGGAAAAGCAATCACACTTAAAGGAAAAAAGAACACTAACACAGACAATAGCAACAACAATTTCCTCCATATGCTCAGGCCTTGTTGAAGTGGAGGTGCTTGCATGCTTCAGTGAGTTTGAGAGCTACAGTATGCTGTGGTAATGTTGCAATCTGAAGGATCTCCCAAGTCAAACAAATCTCAGCTGAGAATTGCGTCCACCAACCATCAATTATGATGAGAAAGAATGAACAGAAGTCCATACCAAACTGGTCGTCGCTCAGGTCAACAAGGACCTTATCAGATGCTATAGCTTCTGAACATCTGGTGACAAGTGGGCTACATGGCTCAGCAGATCCTTTTAAGGAACCAGGACAGGCTGCTGCAAAATTACTGGAACAATATAAATGCAAAACTTGGGCTCCCACCAAAAATTGAGAAATTATGAAATGCTATTACAAGGCAAACTCAGTAGCCCACTGTTTTCAAAAAAGAATGATGAAAATCTGGAAAAAGAAACACCCAAATAGCGACACAACTGAACAATGATTAATGAACCAGACAAAGTTTATCATCCAGAATACAGTGGTGCCCCTCATAGCGATGTTAATCCGTTCCGGATTAATCATCGCTATCCGGAAACATCGCAATGTGGGTGGGAAAACCCCATAGAAACGCATTAAACTTCATTTAATGCATTCCTATGGGGCGAAAACTCACTGTTATGCGAAGATCCTCCATAGCACCACCATTTTCGCCGCGTCGGTAAGTGAGGGCAGCGCGCGAAAATGGTTGCGGTGGCCATTTTGGGCACCCGGCGGCCATTTTGGAACTGCCAATGAGCTGTTCCCAAAACATCGCAATGCGAAGATTGGTAAGTGAAACGCTGACCGATCATCGCAATACAATGTTTTGCCTATTAAAACATTGCAATGCGATCTCAAAAATAGATCGCCATGCGGATTCATTATTAAACAGTGTACTCATTAAGCGAGGCACCACTGTAAAGTGTTTTCAGAATTGGAATGGCAAGAACTAGAAAAGGTGGGAAAAGAAAAATCAACACAGAATGATGACCATAGTATGGAAGACGAATGAAGGGTAGGGGTAGACACAACAGTGGAGGAGAATGCATCAATAGAGGAACAACTTATGGAACAACCCTGAAATTATGAGTTATTGGCAGGCATCACTGAGGGAGTAAATACTAAACCATACTAGCCAAGTAAAGGCTGTGAAAAACTGGGGTGCACCTGGACCAAATGAGCTACATGGATTTTGGTTTAAGTCTCATTTATTTATTTGTTTGTTTGTTTGTTTGTTTGTTTGTTTGTTTGTTTGTTTGTTTGTTTGTTTGTTTGTTTGTTTGTTTGTTTGTTTGTTTGTTTGTTTGTTTGTTTGTTTGTTTGTTTGTTTGTTTGTTTGTTTGTTTGTTTGTTTGTTTGTTTGTTTGTTTGTTTGTTTGTTTGTTTGTTTGTTTGTTTGTTTGTTTGTTTGTTTGTTTGTTTGTTTGTTTGTTTGTTTGTTTGTTTGTTTGTTTGTTTGTTTGTTTGTTTGTTTGTTTGTTTGTTTGTTTGTTTGTTTGTTTGTTTGTTTGTTTGTTTGTTTGTTTGTTTGTTTGTTTGTTTGTTTGTTTGTTTGTTTGTTTGTTTGTTTGTTTGTTTGTTTGTTTGTTTGTTTGTTTGTTTGTTTGTTTGTTTGTTTGTTTGTTTGTTTGTTTGTTTGTTTGTTTGTTTGTTTGTTTGTTTGTTTGTTTGTTTGTTTGTTTGTTTGTTTGTTTGTTTGTTTGTTTGTTTGTTTGTTTGTTTGTTTGTTTGTTTGTTTGTTTGTTTGTTTGTTTGTTTGTTTGTTTGTACATACATACATACATACATACATACATACATACATACATACATACATACATACATACATACATACATACATACATACATACATACATACATACCCCACCCATCTAGACCCAAGTCTACTTTGGGCAGCTTCTATCAATGCATGGCAGTGCAGTTTGATCACTTACTTCTGATAATAAAAAATAATCAAAAGGGCAATGGACTTAGTAATTATCGACCAATTACATACCATCCAGCAATGTTCAAGCTTCTCACAGGAGTACTTGCTAGATCAATATATAATTACTTAATTGAAAACTCCCTATGCACAACTGAACAGAAAGGGAACTTTAAAAAGTCAAGAGCATGAAAGATCAGTTGCTTATTGATAAAATGATATTAACAAATGCAAAAAGATGAAAAACAAATCTTAACATGGGCTGGATAGACTATAAAAAGGCATTTAACTCATTGCCACATAGCTGGATTAACACCTGCCTAAAAATTTTGGGGATTGGTAAAAATATTCAGAAGTTCCTCAAGAAAAACAGCCTATGATGAACAAGCTGGGGAAGAGGACTATTTCAGGGGGATTCTTTGTCACCACTGCTTTTTAACATCTCAATAATCCTCAATAATTTTAAATAAAACTGGATTTAGCTGTTATATTTCAGAACAAGCAGGAAAAATCAATCATCTGTCACACATGGATGATCTAAAACTATATGTAAAAAATTCCACTGAGAGAGAATCAGTACAAAACACAGTGAAATATTTAGTGAAGATATTAAAATGAAATCTGGAATTGCAAACATGCATCTCTTTCTATAAAATGTTGTAAGATCCAAAAACTAGATGGAATCGGTTTAAAAACGGTGATATCATAAAATTGCCATCAAGTGATGAAAATTATAAATACCTTGGAATATCAGAAGCAGGTAACATCCTGCACGCAAAAGTTAAAGGTCTGGCAGATAGGGAACACATCAAAAGACTGCAGAAAATCTTAAAATCAAAATTGAATGGAGGAAATACAATCAAAGCTATAAACATATGGGCAGTTCCATTAATTAGATACCCACCTGGAATAATAGACTGGACGCAAAATGAATCAGAAAAACTGGATTGAAAAAACATGGAAACTAATGAATGTGCTTCACATACTACATCCCAAAAGTGACATGGACAGATTAAAAGTGCCATGGATTATTGCAGATATAGTAGGTAGTAGAGAAGAAAAAAAGAAGTCTAAATGATTATATTACTACAAGCCGCCTAGAGTGGCCTTTTAGGCCAGATGGGTGGGGTATAAAATAGATAGATAGATAGATAGATAGATAGATAGATAGATAGATAGATAGATAGATAGATAGATAGATAGATAGATAGATAGATAGATAGATAGATAGATAGATAAATAAATAAATAAAGTAGAAAAAAATATGTAAGGTGGTGAAAATGGGGAATATTTTGAAAACAACAGAAGCAAACATTATAACTTGCCACCCTCCAAAAATTCATGGGAACTTCAGATAGAGAAGGTCTCAAAAAATGTGGGATTTCTGGATCCAAACTGATAGATACCTTGAACATAACACACCAGATATAGTAGTAATAGGATGAAAAAATGTCTGGATAATTGACATTTCAATTCCAGGGGATATCAGAGTTGAAGCTAAAGAATTGGAAAAATTAACAAAATACTGTACAGAGATCTGGCAATTGATACAACACACTTGTGGATGAAACATATTTCACTGTTCCCCATTGTCATCGGGGCTTTGGGAACAACATCAAGAAATTTCACACCATTTTATAAGTAGTTGCAGATTCTAGACATAACATCAACAGAGCTACAAAGCCCGGCAATATTAGGAACAGTATCTATACTACGTCGATATTTAACAGATACTTAGGTCTTTGGTTAAACCTTGTATCTGTTATGTAACACCAGTCAATGTTTTCATAATTTTGATTGCCTGCTCCTGGTATTTTTGAACAACAACAACAGCAACAACAACAGCTGAAATGTTGACATTCTATTCATTGTTCTCCTTCAACTTGGTACAAAATTATTTGAAATGAATGTCTTCTCCAAACAAGACATTTCCTACACAGTAATCACTTCTGTGTATGAGAGAACTTCATGAATATTGTATATGTATTGCAAATACCTACAAGGTGATGCATGTGTTGCTTTCCGAGTCTTACAGACATGGACTGGTTTATGCGCTAATTTGTTGTGCTTTATACTTACTTAGGGAGAAGAAGGTGATCAAGGAGGAACAGGTGACATTGGAGCACCAGGGCCTCCGGTAAAATATTTCTTCTTAATTAACTCTTTAGTTTCTTTCCATCTAGCGTATCTATTGAACATGTACAGGTGCTAACAAAGAATCAAAGCTATATGTGCCTATCCATGTATCTGATATACACTGATAGCAGTGCAAGATGTAATTTGTGAGTAACTGAAGTCATGTTGTTTTCACTGGGGCTTACTGGCAATTTCAGCTAGTTCCTTTTAATTTTCCATTTGTTGTTTTTGTTTCTTGAGGCATTGGGGAGCAGCACACATCACAGGTTAGTTTTGTTGACAGTAATTCCCAGACCACAAACTTGTTTTTTCAAAAACCCTTTCAAAGGTATAACTTGATTGATAGTAACAGAATAGTAGGGGATCTGAGCATTTAGTGCTCATTCAAATGATGCAACTGATGTTCAAGAATCTCTTTTGTCAACTGGGCAGGAGAGATGAAAATATCATTTAAAGTAGAAACGGAGTGCCTGAAGAGTTGAGGGAGGAGGAGGAAGGATGCGTTTCTCCAGCAGGAAGGATGGAGGGACCTCCAGAGCAGGAGGGGAAAAGGGTAGGCTGTTTGGGGCCATAAGCTACAGTCTCATTGGAACCAGTGGACATACACTCCCCCTGGAGGATCAGGTTGGAAGCCTGGGGATACTCTCGGACCCAGCTCTCTTTTCGGAGGCTCACATATGTGCTTTAGCCAAGAGTACCTTTTATCCACTTTAGTTGATTGCCCAGCTGAGCCCCTATCTGAGCAAGAAATGCCTCACAAGAGTGGCTCATGTGTTGGTAATCTTTAAAAAAGACTACTGTAACTTTGTCTGTGTAGGGCTGTCTTTGAAGTCAGTATGGAAACTTTAGCAGATCCAAAATGTGGTGGCCAGACTGATTACAGGTACTAGCAGATAGGAACATATATCCTCAGTTTCGGCTCACTTTCATTGGTTCCCTCTTTGTTTCTGTGCTCAATTTAACACGCTGGTCATAATCTATAAAGACCATAGCAGTTTAGGACCTTAATATTTAGTAGAATGTCTCTCCCACAAAATAGCTGCTTGTCTCATCTGCTCCTGCTAGTCCTTGATTTTAAGAATTGTGACACCCAAAGAGGCCAAAAAAAGCCAACACTAGGAACTGAGCATTCTTGGTTGTGACCCCTTCCCTTTGGAATAAGCTTGCTACAGATGTCCGCCAGGCACCATCCCTCTCAGTCTTTAAAGGTAAAGGTTCCCCTTGACAATTTGTTCGGTCGTGTCTGACTCTAGGCGGCGGTGCTCATCTCCGTTTCCCAGCCATAGAGCTAGCATTTTGTCCGTAGACAATCCTCCATGGTCACATGGCCAACATGACTAGACACGGAACGCCATTTACCTTCCCACCGAGGTGGTACCTATTTATCTACTTGCATTTTTGCATTTTGCATGCTTTCGAACTGCTAGGTTGGCCGGAGCTGGGAGAAGTGACGGGGCTCATTCTGTCACGTGAATTCGATATTACAATTGCAGGTCTTCTGACCTTGCAGCACAGAGGCTTCTGCGGTTTAACCTGCAGCACCGCCAGTCTTTAGGAAGCTAATTAAGACAGAATTATATAAAGCTACCTTCTGCTAGTGGATATTGACCTATGATGCAAAAATAGGTTTTGATTTTTGTAGTTCTTTTTAAACGTAGGTTCATCGTTTTTAGCTAGTGACAGGGTCTATTGTACTTTTGTATTTTTATTGTATTTATTACATTTATTCTATTATTTATTGTATGTTTGAACCCCCCAGAAAGTAATAACACTGAGGCAGTATGGAAGTTGAAATAATAAATAAATGTGTATGGAATCTATAAAAAAAAACACTAACTAGGAGTCTGATTGTGTTGATACCAAGTTTACTTTAAACTCTGTTAATTGTTTAATGTTTAAAAGAAATCTTGACTAAGTCACTTTTCAAAAAGCATGCAATGCAAGGAAATATATCATATAACAATTAGCATATTTAGGATGAATCAAGTGCATAAAAATCACACACAATCTATTTTCCATTTCAGGGACCTTCAGGGTTAAGAGGTATAACTGGCATAATGGGACCCCAAGGTGATAAAGTGAGTAAAAGAAACATTTGTGTGCTCCTTTATTAGGAAGTGAGTTGTTTCATGGATAAATCAAGGTGGCAGATGTTTGGGAAATGGAGCGTGATGGGTGGATCAATCCAGGTCCCTGCCCCTCTCTCATCTAATCAGCTGCTTATTTCTGCACAGGGTACCCAGCTGGGGGGCTATATGCATGTGTCTCTAGCAGCTGTATTTGACCAGAAACTCCCACATACAGTTCCTGTTTCTTTCATTTCTAGTGGGGATGGCTTGTCGCTTAAGAGAGAGAGAGAGAGAGAGAGAGAGAGAGAGAGAGAGAGTAGTATCCTAAAATTGTAGAAAAGACCCACTTTGGTCACAAGCAACTATCTTTTCTCGATAGCTCCTCCCCTAAATTGATGAGAATCATTCATTTTATGCTTTAAATCCAGACTATGGCTTAATAGCTGAATATTCTTATGAGGAGTTGCATTTCAACCCATCAACTCTCTTGGGTATACAGATCTTTCTGGGTTTTCATTTTGTAGCAGACATGGAGAGAGCAGGTTTTCTGAGCCACATTTTGAGATTCAGAGACAAATCATTTTGGAGATATGTATATGAGAGTATTTCTTCTGTGTTATGTTGATTCCACTCATGTGTCCGTTTGCCATCTACTGTGTTTGGAGATCTACCATGGAACATGCTGTTCAGAAGTAGCTGTAGAGTGTGATAAGCTTAATTCAGTCTCGCATTTATTAATCCATTCAAATGGTAAATTGGAGGTTGACATGGATGGGATGGGGAAAAGACATTCCTTAGTTCTTGATTTGCCTCTGTTCTCACTTTAAGTAGGTTGCTATAGACATGATTCAATGCAGATTAAAAACACAGAAACATATTCAGTACTTGAGTCTCCCAAACAAGTTAATAAGACTTAAAAAGTGCTCATCTTTAGCTGTGTGTGATATATATAAAGAGCACAATGATAATAAGCCTGCATATGAAGGCAAGGTTGTGTTCACAATACAATCACATACGGAGATGCTCCTGTTTCCTTACCTATGTTAACAGGTCTGTAATAACAGTGAATTAGCAGAAGCTAATGAGGCTCTTACAGGATCCTTATTTGTTCATTTCAATAACTACAATAAAGCATTGTTTATTTACAACAGGTCTATCATTGTGCGATATATTATTCAGTATTTAATTCTGCAAGGTGTAGAACAAATCCCAAAAGATTTATTTCCAGTCAGACTTTGGTGGGCATGATAAAGATGCTAATGACTAAAGAATGCTTTAGGGAATGATGGTTGGACTCTATAAAAAGAAAAGCAAGGAACCTGAGATACCTTGGTGTTCTATGCATCATCCTAGAAGTGGTGAATATCCATAATTAAAGAATTCCCTTCCATCTTATGGATCCCAGCAGCTTCCCCAGGATGAAGGGGATCCCAAAGGAGCCTTGGAATCTTCTGGGAGGGTAATCAGAAATGTTTAATTTCCAGAAAAAAAACACCACTGTGGCTAATGAAATATTTCTCCTTATATGACATAAAATTGCACAACAGAATTTCAGACAATTTGCTAAAAATGGACAGATGGGAAATGCACATTTTAGAGGGTTGTTTAAAGATTGGCTGCAACAGACTGTCAATGGCTCAGAAGTTAGATTTTTAAAGTAAAATTGAAACAGTTACAGGACTCAGAGGAAAAGGTTAAAACTTACACAGTGACTTTTACTCCGATTAAAAAAATGATAAGCATCTAGGGGAGAATTGTTTAGTGCTGGACGTTTCTGCCTCTTTTATTGATCAGTGGGCTTTGCTTTTGGCTACACTGTTTTAACACAGTGATAAGTCTTGCTGTGTTTCACTTGTGTTGCTGTCAGTTTACAAAAAGCAGTAAAATCTACTATTACTGTTACTTTTTAAAAAATACTGTGTGTGTAGTTGATATAGGTCTATATTCTTGATGAATTTCTATAGCACTGAATCTTTATGTGTCCTAGCTTATCTAGAAGATAAAGTACCCACAATTCTGCATTTACTGCCTCAAATATGGATAGCTAAAATGTATAATACCATGAACAAACTACCTTTTGATATTAGAAGACAAAATTGTACTGTATTTTTTCGTGTATACGCCCCCCAATGTATAAGATGACCCCCTAATTTTTACCCTTGCCAGAGGCGGAGGAGCAGTCAATGGGCAGCTGCGAGGGGTGGCCCAGCACGGCAGCTGCACCTCCGCCTCCTCCTGCTGCTGCTGTCGCTGCCCAAATCACCTCCTCCAGCTCATGTCACCGCCTTGTCCCCTGCCCAAAGGAGACAATTGTTGGAGGAGGCGATCTGACGGTGGGGTGGCGGCAACAGTCAATGGGCAGCAGTGAGAGGCTGCTGAATGCAGCTGCTCCTTTGCCTCAGTGTCTGCCTCCTGCTGCTGTCGCTGAGCCCGCCAGTGGTGCTGGAGGAGACTGCAGCAGGAGGAGGAAGAAACCATAAGAGCCAAAGATCAAAGTTTCTAGGAGCTGTAGCCTAAGGACATCTGGTGGTTCAAGGTTAGGAACCACTTGTGTACTCAGAGGCAATAATTCTTCGGCCACTTCCACATAGACACCTTCACCGTAAAGTTACAGAAACTAGAATGTCATTTGTTAAGGAAACACTTCTTGTATTTCTAGCCTTACTTACCTCCCAAATCAGTGTTTTTCCTTATGTATCAGAAGGAAGGCTATAGAATCAGAAGCTGTACTTAATAGTGTAAAGAAGGATCTATAACATTCTATTCAGTTCCCACAGTGAGCGTTATATGACAGAGTTCTCATCACGGGCCAGGATCCTGTGACTTCATAAGGGCAATTGTGCAGGCAAGGCAAAACCAACTCCAGCTATGTGTGAGCACGCAGTACTGGGATGACTATGTGGATCCCTGTACATCCAGCACCTAATACTGTCCCAATATGTGAACACCAATACCAGGATGATCTGTTCGAATTTGTGACAAGAAATACCAGAATAACCCAGAGGAACCTGAGAATGATGGTGACCCTAGCTCTTTAGGTTATAGTGACTAATTTCTTCCATCATCCACAACATCCATGAGACAATCATATAACTGAATGCTACAGGTTTCACTCAGCTGTGAATAGTTTGTTAAATGCTTGTAGAAGTTGGCATTTGGGGTAGAATGAGTCTCTGATGCTGAGACGATTTGCTGGTCTTTCCCTAACGTATCACTGAGGAAATGTCCAAACCATTGGGCTAGCACATGTATTATAGTCTTCTTAAAGCAAAGAACATATGCAGCTAGTCTCTGTCATGCTATGTGAGTTTCTCTTTGCCTGAGAATGGTAGTTGAGATGCTATATCTAACAGTAAACAGCCTTCCCCAGCCTAACAGTTTTTAGACATGTCAGGCAGCATCATCTCCACCAAATAACATTTTGAGGGTTTACTGCTCATCTGGAAAAAGCATCTGCCTGAGGAAAGCAATTTTTAAAGTAACAAAAAGAGACATTCTGAGGAAGCTGATGATAAAAGAGGAAGAAACCATAGAAGTCCCCCTGTTATAAAAAATAATAAACTGATTAACAAATTAACAAGATAGTTTCAAGAAATGAAACACAATGAGTTTTAAATGTTAATAGCAATCCAATTTCTAGTATTTAACCAAAGCAAATTAGTTTGAAAACCTAACATTTGAAGCTCTGATGGAAGAAGATTGTTGTCAAGTCTCTGTGTGATAGAGAGGTCAGAATTCTACCCCGGTGAAGCAAACTATCACTGCAGGACAGCCTGAGAGCCAAACCCAGGGGATGAGGGGTAGCTTTACTGTCATAGCAACAGCATTAGAGTGATGCCAGCTGTTCATTTCAGATCTAGGAGACTGGAACTCAGAGCCAAATAGAGACAAATATAAAGCTACCATTTTCCTCATTGGCTCTAGTGGAAGTTAATACATATACAGAATGCTGTGACATATAATGTTCTGATAATCCTTTCTTTTCCCCCTCTCCTCATTCAATTTAGGGTGCTCGAGGTCCTGATGGAGATCCTGGTCCTCAAGGCCTCCCTGGGGCACCAGTAAGTTTATTTTTTTAACCAATAAGATCTCTTATACTGCTTTTAGCTACAGGATAGAAATGGAAATGGGAGAAGTTAGTTTTTTGGCTTATAGTTCTCAGATTCAGTATGGCCAGTGGCCATATTGGCTATGAGATTATGGGAGGTACAGAGATGTATGAGGCTGCAGCTGTATGAGGCTACAGCTAAAATCCTTTTATAACTTTTGGAGGCTAATTACCCCAAGTTAAGAAATCAGCATATACATTATCACTTGCATGCCAAGCCACACAGCTCAGTATACAACAGATATTGTTGACAGTGATTTCTTTTAAAAAATCACTAGTGTAACACAAGCTATGCCACTTGTGTTACACTAGCATGACTAGGCAAGAGGATTTGGGCCTATGTTTGTGACAGCAGTGAATTTTCTCCATGTTTTGTTCTGAACTTTACTAAACCTATTCAAGGTGCCAAATCCTGTCCCTAGAAATGTCCCTGCAAACCAGGACTCGTGAGCCACCTTTGGGGAATTGTAGTTCAACAGCAACAACAACAACAACAACAACAACAACAACAGCAACAGCAACAGCAACAGCAACAGCAACAGCAACAGCAACAGCAACAATAACAACATATATGGCCAGCTGCTCTGGCTCTCACTTGTAAAACATTGCAACTTAGATGTCATTTATAAAACAATTTTGTTGTTATTTAGTCATGAAGTCATGTCCGACTCTTCGTGACCCCATGAAACAGAGCATGCCAGGCCCTCCTATCTTCCACAATATGTTCCAGTAATTCCCAGACCTTGTGCCTGGGCACAGTAACATGCTGTGGGTAATCACCCTGTAATGAGAAAGATACAAAGCTAATAATTTGCTGATTCCTGTGAGCCCAAAATTATAGCCACCCATAACTGAGATTGCCTACTGTCCCTCTGCATGATTAATTCCTTTTAATTACATTTGGATTTAGCCAAATCATGTGTCTGTTTCTTTTGCAGGGCGATCAAGGACAAAGAGGTGCACTGGGAGAGATGGGTCCCAAGGGGGAGAGAGTGAGTTCTTAATCCAGCTTCTAATAACTGACCAAATAGTAACATACCTTTGATGTCACAAGACTACCAGTCCCATTCTGTATATGTTTCCTTAGGAAGCCAATCCTGTGGTGTTCCCTGGGAGTGCTCCCATGTTTTTCTATAGAGGACTGCAGTTTATGTCATCTAATGTCTGCCAAAGGTTGCAGAAGTCAAACTGGAGCAATTTTGTTTAATTCTGAGTCAAAACACACATTAAAGGAAACGTATATATCCTGCAATTAACTGATTTTCTCTCACTCAGTGAGGTTTCCTTAAGGATGCATGCCTCAGAAATCAGATTTGCAGATGAAGCTTTCCAATGGCCAGTTGTAAAACAAAGCATGTTAAATGGAAGATAACTGGGTGAAAAGTGACAAACTTTTTCCCCACTTGAAGGAGCATCTCTTGTAAGGGTGTTTTAAAGGTGTTCTCTTGTTTGACCCTCTGATTCGCTGGATTATGTTATTTGGGAGGGGCACTGCCTTGCTTTCTCACACGTCCATCCATCCAAGAGTCTGTCAGATCCATTTCATGCTTTCTGTTTCTCATTTTCTGCTCCCTTCCTTTCCCTTTCCCCCCCTAGGGCCCTCAAGGTACAAGAGGAGTTGCTGGCCTTCCTGGACCTAAAGGGGAAAGTGTATGTATAAGATTGTCATTATAAATATAATATTAACAATACCTATTACGTACTTGCATTACTACAGTATAATGTTTTGTGGTCTTGAAAGATTAGGAAAAAGGCTTTGTGGGAAAAAGTATTGCTTTTGCAGTGCCATCATTTTATGTAAGGTTTTCTTTTCTTCAAGGGCTTACCTGGAATTGATGGCCGTGATGGAATCCCTGCCATGCCAGGATCTAAGGTACTGAAAGTTAATTTAGCAGGCATTTTAATGTATGTTTTCTAAATTAACATATTGTATGGATTAGAGGGGGAAATCACAGAGAGAAAGTACAAATTGGACAAATCCATAGGATTGTTAACTGTACACCATATTATATCAATGGGATGTCTGTATTAAAGAACAACAATGGTTGGGAGGTTGCAAGTCCTAGCCGCCATTTTAAGTCACTCCACTAAACATTCCCTTGGTGTTTTCCAGCCAAAAGTTCACTTTCCTTCCCCACCCCCAGCATTGCCAATGGAAGCCACTCCTACATTCAGAGGCAGCAGCACCAGAGCTTAAAAACAACACTCAGAATTCCTAAGCTAACATGGCAATAGGTTCCTACGGTCTTCCTACAGTGGCGTTGCAGCATGGTGTGTGTGACAACACTCAGAATTCCTAAGCTAACATGGCTGCTCATCCCACATATTCTGAAGGAATTTCTATACATATGTCACCTTGAATAAATCTTCCCACCCAGTGGTCCCCAACCTTGGGCCTCCAGATATTCTTTGACTTCAACTCCCCAAAATCCTGGCCAGCAGAGGTGGTGGTGAAGGCTTCTGGGAGTTGTAGTCCAAGAACATCTGGAGGCCCAAGATTGGGGACCACTGTTCCCACCCATTTATTTCTCTTCAATGGATTCTGTGCAAACATTCATTTCCCTTGCAAGGGATAGGCCTATTTTTGCCTTTATCAGTCATAGCCGCTCCCTCCAGTCTTCAGGATTTGTCCCCAGGCGTCCTTCATGGAAAAGGAATGGTAGGTCATTTCCAAAGGTGAGCCCCAGTCACTGCTATGGAAGTTGTACAAGGTACCATTCACTCTCCATTAAAGAAGTGAGACTTGCACAAACCAAGGTGCACAATGTTATTACTGGACAGCTGTTGTCCCCTTCGTCACCCATCTCAATAAGCCACTCTGCTTCTTCTCCTACTCCTTCTTTAATCACTACACCATCCTGAACAAACCCAGTATTATTTGATATTGGACTTTAATTAAGGCCAAACCTGGTTAGTTCTGAGATGGAAGACCACCAGGGATATCTACGTAATGGTGAATGGGAAGACTCCTGTCTGACGCTTAGAACTGATGGAACCCATCAGAGTTGATTGTATTGGGCTGTAAGGTGCAATGGTCTAACTCAGTTTAAGGCAATAGGTTCCTACGGTCTTCCTACAGTGGCGTTGCAGCATGGTGTGTGTGAGTGCAGACGGGGAGGAAATCTTGTAAGCCATGTTGCTGTATCTGTGCTAATGAAGATGTAAAAACTTAATGAAGTACAAAACACACCATGGCCCAGGCCCATGTTGTAGTCCAAGAACATCTGGAGGCCCAAGATTGGGGACCACTGTTCCCACCCATTTATTTCTCTTCAATGGATTCTGTGCAAACATTCATTTCCCTTGCAAGGGATAGGCCTATTTTTGCCTTTATCAGTCATAGCCGCTCCCTCCAGTCTTCAGGATTTGTCCCCAGGCGTCCTTCATGGAAAAGGAATGGTAGGTCATTTCCAAAGGTGAGCCCCAGTCACTGCTATGGAAGTTGTACAAGGTACCATTCACTCTCCATTAAAGAAGTGAGACTTGCACAAACCAAGGTGCACAATGTTATTACTGGACAGCTGTTGTCCCCTTCGTCACCCATCTCAATAAGCCACTCTGCTTCTTCTCCTACTCCTTCTTTAATCACTACACCATCCTGAACAAACCCAGTATTATTTGATATTGGACTTTAATTAAGGCCAAACCTGGTTAGTTCTGAGATGGAAGACCACCAGGGATATCTACGTAATGGTGAATGGGAAGACTCCTGTCTGACGCTTAGAACTGATGGAACCCATCAGAGTTGATTGTATTGGGCTGTAAGGTGCAATGGTCTAACTCAGTTTAAGGCAATAGGTTCCTACGGTCTTCCTACAGTGGCGTTGCAGCATGGTGTGTGTGAGTGCAGACGGGGAGGAAATCTTGTAAGCCCTGTTGCTGTATCTGTGCTAATGAAGGTGTAAAAACTTAATGAAGTACAAAACCCACCATGGCCCAGGCCCACGTCAAGGGAAGGGAAGGGGCTGTGGACTAAATCAGTCCATATGAACCAAGCCATTTTCTATTCAGTTTGCATAGCAATGATTTTCACTGGATTCATGCATGCATTTTCTTTTAGGGTGAACCCGGAAAACCAGGACCTCCCGGTGATGCAGGAGCTCAGGGAATACCAGTGAGTGTCTTCTTCAGCATTTAAAAATATAATTCATAGTTAAGTCCCCAGGTCAAGTGGAAGTCAGAAATGTTTCAGGAGAGACTATATTTTCTGTAATGGCATAGGAGCTTGTTGATAATAATAAGAGATGGGAGAAACTTTGGGGACTTGAATCTTTAAAAATGGAAGCATAGAAAGCATGATTAGATGTCAGTAAGATAATATTTTATGTTAGCTGGATTTGATTAGATGTGCCTTCAGAGAAGCTGGTGTGAGTGGCTTCTTTATAGCTGTGATTCAAAGAAGCTACTGAAATGGCTGTCAAGGATTTTTTTAGTAGCATGCGGCATGCATCAATGTACTCTTTTCTGAGGTGGTATCTTTAGCTGGACACACAATCTGGAAGATTTTGCGGTTTTACCATGTTCTTGAAAACCTAGAAGAACATAATCTAAGGGGAAACATGCAGAAGCTGGATGTATTCTAAACTACAAAATTTTCTTTTGACAAGTATCTTACCAAGTGAGGAGGCATTTACAGGGATTAAAGCTGTGGTTAGAAGGCATAGGGTGAAGCAACTTTGATAGGTGCTAAAACAGGGTTGAGTGTGACTGATGCTCAGATGGGAGATTAGCTTGGAACGTGGGTCCACCTGCCACGAGGTCTAAAATGGAGAACACCGAATGTGGAAACGCAAGTGACATTCAATTGTAAAATTTTAATGTTTCATGAGATTTTAGTTGTCAGTTCTCACAAATGCAAGTTAAACCACAACTCTCATTGGATTTATTAAAACAATTACTTTTTTTAAAGGGTTTACCTGGCTCTCCTGGAGCAAAAGGTGTTGCTGGACTAAAGGTAAACATATCTAAGTCATTTGGAAAATATGCCAACCTGTTATACGTGGATTTTGTATTTGAACCTTCCTTCAAAGAATTTAAGGAGTAACAACTTCATATAAGAAATTGTTCCATGTTATCCTCACAAAAACTCTGTGAAGTATGTTATACAGGAAAGAGAAAAATGAAATTGAATAATTTGCTCAAGAAACTGCCTGAAGAGTGTTTTCAAAATAGGCCCACAAGGTCCAAATGCTAGCCACTATATCGTAAGCATATGAAGAACACTCATGATATTTCTTAGCTTTGACAAAAAGCTCGAAGTTCACTGTCAATATTTCTGTGATTATTTTCTCATCTATCATTAAATGAGAAAATATTATTTAATGATAGATGAGAAGTTCTGTCAGTATTCATGTAATCTTTTCTCATTTATCATAAGAAAAGACATATGTTTTGTCAGCAATATCATTAAGAAGTTCCCCAAATACTGCAGCTTCTTGTACAACTTCCCTTACATATTGTGCAAAAACTGCATTTTGCACAAAATTCAAAGCTTTTGTGTAAAGTACAAGGGATTTTTTTGCACAAAATCCACTTCTGTGAATTTTTCACCAATAATTCCTGAAATGGTTGTTGTGGGTTTTTTGGGCTCTTTGACTGTGTTCTGAAGGTTGTTCTTCCTAACGTTTCGCCAGTCTCTGTGGCCGGCATCTTCAGACTGGCAAAATGTTAGGAAGAACAACCTTCAGAACACAGCCAAAGAGCCTGAAAAACCCACAACAACCATTAGATCCCGGCCGTGAAAGCCTTCGCGAATACAGTTCCTGAAATGTAAAAAAGTACAAACACTTTTTAACCTTGCCAAATGTGATGGAAACATTTACCTATGAGAATGAAATAAGCAAAAATCTATATCCCTACCATATTGTTCTTAATCTTTGTGGATTCCCTTTATGAGTGTATTTCTTGAACATTTTTATGACTATTATCACTGCCATTATCTCAGAAGCATGTTCGATACAAATAGTTCTTTCTTCTGAATCTGTGCTTCTTTTTGGTACTTATGTCAAAAGCAGTCAAAATTTCAACAAGAGGGACTACAATTATCTGAATACCACTCATAACATTTACAGTGAGTGTAAATCCCAATCCTTAGTCACATTATTCTCCTTGACTCTTGAATGCCCTCTCAGATTCAGGCTCTGTCTTGAGCTACAAATCTTATTCATTTAGTGGAAAAGGTGAAATATAGAGATCAATAGAAACAGATATAAAAGATGATTTTGAAGAGTTCTCAATTTTAGGCTGGAGAGCAAGGTAGAGGTAGGAGTATGATTATTTGAGAAAAAAATGTATTCAGTACTATGTGGAAGCAATGGCACATCTGGAAGTTTTGGGACAGTGTACAAGAATATGGCATGAATCATAGTACAATATATAAGGAAAAGTTAAAAGAACATGACTGTGTAAGAGGAAAGAAGGATAAGAATGCTAACAGATGTTACCAGTGTGCTTGGCATTTGAAGTTTTCCAAGTTTTAAGACTTTGAAAAAAAGTATATGAATTTTTGCAATGGAAAAATGACCCCATCTTTGTTGTCCTTCCATAGGCAGGCAAAGGCATTTCTCTTCAGGCAGGCTTTAATGACTGATGTTCTGAGTGGGTTTCTTCAATGGGTTGTTGTGCTCTGTTTTTTTAAATGTGTTTTAATATTGCTCTTAGTTACCATTTTAATATACCGTAATACTTGTTTAATTCTTTTTAAATATTTGTCTGCTTTCTGTTTTACCTTTTATTGTTTTAATTATAGAAGTTGCCTTGGGTCCTTTAGGGGAGAAAAGTGGCACAGAAATATTTCAAATGAATAAATATTAAATAATATTTTTATTAGGCCATTCATGGATTTAAAAATGGTTCAGAAATGGCAAAAGAAAAGCTAGTTTTCTAGAATTGTTATTAGTGATGATAAATGAGAGGATTATCAGGAGAAAGTCAAGGAGTGAAAATGACAGCTGAAAATTGGTCAATGTATGTTTAGGATCTCCAAGGCTAACCTAGATACTACAGAGAGCTTGTCATTAGAAGCTGCAGTTCTTTAAGCATTAAAAACTGGTTAATTGTATTCCCATTAGCTTGTTTTGCTTTATGATTTGTTATCAGGAGTTAAATACCAGCTAGTTGCATTCTGGTTGTGCAGGCACAAGACTGTGAGGAAACTGTATGACTGAAGCACAGTTTTCTTCTTCTAATGAAGTGCTCACTATAATGTTTGATTTGATCCCAAGATGCAGTCAGATATAAGAGGATGGACAGAAGGAACAAAGTGAAAAATCAAAAGTGCCCGAAACAATTAATGTATGCTCTTAAATATAATTTTGTGTATCTGCTTTTATGCATTTCTCCTGGAATGGGCTGATAATGGCACCTGTCCTAATCTGGCAAACCTCTTTTCTCTCCTTTTTTTCTCAAAAGGGTAATGCAGGTTCTCCTGGGATACCTGGCTTGATGGGAAATTCGGGTAAACCTGTAAGATTCCTTCTGCCTCAAGTTTCCTATTTTATTTATTCATTTATTTTTACTAATGTGTTTGCATTTTATGCAAATTTGGTTTTCAACTCTTCTTATAATCCTGAATACAGGGAGAACAAGGACCTCAGGGAGAACAAGGACCAGGTGGACCCAGAGGCCCCCCAGTAAGTTGGCATGTTCTGTACTGGAAGTTTTGAGTTATATATGGGCCACTGCTTCTCTTATTTGTTTGCTATGTAAACTCTAGCTTCCATGGGAATTTCTTCAGATCCAGAATTTATTTTGCATACTTACAGGGCATGTTGATTCATAATATATATAACCTCTACTTAGCCTCAAAACATGCAGCTGAAGACTTGTGCACTGAACTCTACAGAGGTCTACAGATAGAGTCATGTGAAACAGAAAGCACACCCTCTTTGACATATTACACTGTCTCATTAATTACGTAAAACCATAGAATTCAAAGAGGGTGTACTTTCTGTTTCATATCACTGTTACATATCAAGTAGAGCTTTGATGGACCATAGAATTCAAAGAGGGTGTACTTTTTGTTTCACATGACTGTTACATCACTAGTGAGACTAAAGTCTTTTTCACATTATGCCACAGTTTGCTGTATTTTTTTAATATTTTTTGTGGGTTGGGTCTAAATTTCAGCTGCACTGCTGCAGGTTATTGCAGTTTGTCTGTGTCTAAACAATAATCTCCCCATAGATATTCAGGGTCAATCTGAGAATCTCATGTTTTTTTATCCTGATTGTTAAAAACAAAATAACAAAGCAAAACTGCTTTTTAAATTGTAGGATAAATCAGGATCTAATTGGGAAGGAGCAGGTTGCTTTGTCTTGTTATTCATGTATGTGACTATAACGAATTTAAAGACATTCTGAACTCAGAGTCTTTAGTAAGTAATAACCAATACTAGACAACACTGGAAAAAAATAGGATAATATACATATGACAGGCCTCACCCAATCTACAACCTGGTGTTGTAGCGTCCTGGCAGCCTGTGGGAACTACCATGTATCTAGATTATTTAAGGTCTTTACATAAGCAAAGAAAAAAAGTGTCTTTGTTCTCACATTATCAGCTCATACCAGTTCTATGGTTACATCATCAGGCATATAAGATGAGTCACAGGAATAACTATGATGTCAATGTCATGTCCCAGTGTAGAAAATAAGTGCTCAAAATGATCCCCAGTTACTAGGGGAAGAAACAGGAGAGAAAACAGCTTTTAACCTTTCATCAAGTTCCCAATCCCTGGGTTATGAAAAACATATTTAAGCTCAGAACCAACAACATCATGCTGTACTACAAAAGCACATTGTTACTTCCTATCATGCTTTTCCAGAGGTGGGAAAAGTTTGATTATTTTAATTACAAGTCTGAGAATACCCCAAGCAGTACAGCCGGTAGGTATCCTGGAAGGTGTAATTAAAGAAAAAGAGTAATTTTTTATTCTCTCTACATTTCCCTATGCTGAGGTTCTTTTGTTCTAGAAAGCTGTATTTTTTTATTTTTTTTAGTGTAGGATTTATGTGATGCTTTTAGTATACTCACTGTTGTTAGCTTAAACACTATCTTTTAATGATGTAAGTAGCCTTGGGGAAAGCTGGGATAAAAATATTTGAAATTAAATATTTGAAATTAAATTAGAGAGAGAGAGAGAGAGAGAGAGAGAGAGAGAAATCTGGGTGTTTATTATTATTATTATTATTATTA